AAATAGCTATGACTATTGGTACATTAAAACTAATCACAATGATATAAAGATTCAGATTTTGCAAACGTTCCAAGTAGCCAATAATTACATTGACGAAATTTTAAACTACTACAATGGGTTATTAGAAGTATACTTAACAAAGGCTAGCGTGTATAGTGTCTTGCCACCCAAAAATGTTAGTGAATTAATATTTTCCGCAAATAGGAAGATGCCATCCAACATTAGAATAGTCCAAGAACTATTATTAGATACAAGGATAGTCGAGAATATGACTCATATACAAGTACACGCTTATTTTCCAATTAAAGATATTACAAAGTATACTTTAATTCATGTTACACCAGTACCTAAGAAGAATATGAACAATACGTTCGAAAGCATAGAAGTATCGAGAGCATTTTTAGCAATTGATTACAATAATGAATTATACTTCGAACTGGACCACGAAGAATTCAAAGAGTGTATACAAAGGCACGAACAGTTTCTTTGCTTCCCTGGAGTGGTGAAAAACATGCAATTAAATGAAAATTGCATCGTTGACCAAGTATTCAAAAATCAAACTAACACTAAATGTCCTACCCATATCTTTGAAATGTCAAGTAATATAATTTGGAAACAGCTATGCATGCAAAACTCATGGTTGTTTATAACAAAAACTAGTAGCACTATATCCATAGTTTGTGATAGTAAGCGAGAAGAAATAACCATTCAAGCCGTAGGAGTAATAAAAATCGCTGACAATTGTATCATAAAATCCGTTAACAACAGACTCGCTGCTAAGAGAACGTTATCAATTCAGGTAGCAGAGTCCTTTTCAAAACAACTAAATTTTAGTATATACACATATATATCAAATCGAAGTAAAAAACTAAATATATCTAAGGAGGCTGTAATAGAAAGTTCCAATGACTTTTATCAGCACTTAATAAATGAAGAGTCTGGATTGGAAATAGAACTTAACGATAACATATGGAAGGACATTCAATCTCACACATACTTAGTGAGCTGCGTATCATCAATAATATTGATGACAATTATAATTATAGTTGTTTGTTATGGTCCCAGGATAGTTACGTGTACGAAAACAGGAACACATCGACTTCGACAACACCCTAAATCATCAAAAGCTGATCCGCCACACCCACAACGTGCACCAGATCAAGGCAACAACCAGCCATCTACATGGAACGCCATCTACAGCCAGCCGAACCAACTACTGAAGCCTCCCAGGAAGCAGCCGGAGAACCAGGACGCAGCCAAGGATGACTCCATAGAACTATATCAAATGGAGTTGCCTGTTCCTCGGAGAGGGCAGAATGTTCACACATGAACGTGCCATTTCAGCGAGATAATCCTACGTGATTAAAATAAGGAAAACATATTACTTATTAAATATATAAAACTAATAAAACATCACGTAATCACGTAAGGTATATAGCACTGAGATGGTACATTACACGCATAGCACACAATCATAATGTGGTATGTGTGTACATAGGATAAGTTTAGTATATAAGATCATGTAGATTAAGCAATAAACGAGTCATTAAGTTGATTCCGACTTTGACTCACTACCCTTCCTCCACCTCTCACTGTGGCCAAGACACCTTTAGCCATCAACCGATCTGTCGTGTGAGTCTGCTCGACAGGCAGTGAGAAAACCATCACCACCATACCCCATTCCTACCCACATTCCGTCTGCCATCATAGGTCTCAGTTGGCAGATATCCTGCACCTATCTATATAAGTATATATAAATACGTATAGTAGGGCTAGGGTCTAGGGACTGTAGGGCTAGGGCATTAGGCGCGTACGAAGAGTAGGTCTGTATCACAGCATACCACAGTGTACCACTATAGTACGTGCCTTAGGTTAAGGGCTTGGTAGTAGGTGCGTAGAAGTGCTGGTCTGTATCACAGTATACCACAGGGTACCAAGCCTATACGCATTGTACGCTAGGCAAATATAGGATAGAACTTAGACTACATAGGTTATTGGGCTTAGGGGATCTAGGATAGGATATTGTAAGTGTTAGATTATCTAGGATAGTGTAGGATAACGTTAGCTAGTAGTACTTAGGATTAGGTATTTAGTCCTGTACAGCGCGATCTTAGCGTAAGGCTATTATTCACGCTGTACAGATGTGATATGGGGCCCCCATTGTAGTTTTTCATCTATGGTTGTACCCAGAAAAGTAGTCGGTTTTACAAATTCCAATTTCTTGCCGTTCAATAATATGTCACATTCGTTACTTTTAACATTTGGCAAACTAAATCGTATACACTTTGTCTTTTTGTCATTTACAACTAAATTATTAACTGTAAACCAGTTATGAACTTTCGTAATAGCAATATTTACTTCGTCAAAAATTAACGATGTGTCATCAGCAAATAATACCATTCCCGGTTCTCGTTGAAATAAATAAGGTATGTCATTTATGTAGACCAAAAACAGGAAAGGACCTAATATCGAGCCCTGTGGTACGCCCATAGATATGCTAGCACCCTGGGAGTTCACTTTGTTTACCTGTACTTTGAGCTGCCTACCCTGGAGGTATGATTTTAATAAATTGAGTGACGCCCCTCGAATACCATAGTGTTCCAACTTCAGCACCAGTGTCTCGTGTTCGACGCAATCAAAAGCCTTGGACAGGTCAAAAAAATTACAATAGCGTCGTGCGACTCCTTCCACAAGGCAAAAATACGCTTAATTAGAGTTACACCGGCGTCAGTTGTGCATCGACCTTTGGTGAACCCATATTGTTGATCATGAAAGATGGAATTCATGTTAAAGTGACGCAGCGTCTGCGAAAGCATACGCTTTTCAAACACCTTACTAAGCACTGGTAAAATAGACACCGGCCTATAATTATTAGGATTGGTATAATCGCCAGATATAAACAGTGTAACTACTCTGCTATGTTTCATCAAATTTGGAAAAACTCCCTTCTATTATAAATTAAAGCTAAATAAGGCGCTATAGCTTCTATGAAAGCCCTACACACCGCAACATACATTCCCCAGAGATCCTCTGTAGACTTAACTTTAATGTCTTTAAACGCCTTTATTACTGATTGCGCCTTTATTAATTGAAAGTGCCGGAGATGATTCAAGTCCTTCGTAGTTTCAATGGGGATATTATTGAAAAAAAAAATCGAATTCTTATGCAACTTCCCGATTTACACTAACATGTCCATTTACGGTATTTAAATTTAATTCCGTGTTATGCAAGTTATTTCTGCCTGTCTCGTTGTTAATTATTTTCCATGTAGTCTGTTTTATTTTCAGCGTTCTTAATCTTACGGCTAATGTAATGAGATTTTGCTTGCTTACAGACCATTTAATTTTTTTTGCATATTTGGACACATGCTTGCTAAAGAATTCGCTAGTATTAAATAGTTTCAGACCATATAGTTCAAATAACTTTTCCCTACTTCTAGGGGGGTAGCCCAGTCACAGAATACAAATTTACATTCAATGATTTTACGTTTTAGGGGAAATATTTTGTCAATTTGGGTTTTGATAATGGCCATCGCATAAATCTCACTTGGACCTTCATAATCATGTGATGGGCTGCATAATATTTGCTTTAAATTGTTATTTAATGACTCAGCTTTTTTATCTGTGATATGTCTAAACATTATTTCCTTTTTTGGCACCTTTGTGATGTTGTTTAAGTTTATTGTTAACCCACTGTGATCTGATGGTAAGCTATTAACAATATTTTTGTGCAAATAATCACAGTTACAAACATCGATCACTAATAAAGAACATTAGTGATCGATGGTTACAAAATATATTATCTTTACATGTAGCCGAGGTGGATGTTACTCGGGTGGGCTCAAGGAATACATTAGACAAAACAAAAGATTTAAAAAGACTTACTAAATTAATACAATTAGAATTGTTTTCCAAGAGATCAATATTAAAATCGCCACATACTATTGTAAATTTACTGTTCGAACACGTTTTCTGCAACACTTGTTCCATAACTGAGTTAAACACGTTTAAGTTTTGTAAGATTGCAGGTCTATAGACGCATATCACAACAAGCCCATCCAGCTCTACACAGGACAATTCTATTGTATTTTCAATTGAAAGTGAAGTTATATCTTGTCTTTCTTTATATTTAATCGAGTTTTTTAATAAAATTAAACTACCACCATGAACTAAAGCTTGACGTCTAGAGAAACTACCAACACAATAGTTTTTAAAACTCATAAATTCTACCTGATACTTCTTCATCCAATGCTCTGTTATACAAATTATGTCAAATTTAATTTTTTCTAAAAATAATTCCAATTCTAGTTATTTGGATGAAATGCCCTGAATATTTTGACTAAGGAGTGTAAAATTTCCTTGTTTGTGTTTATTATACATATAATATGCTGCGAGAAGAAACCTTTCGATAGTTTGTAGTATGAGAATTCATTCATAAGGTTATCTTCTGTTGTCTCAAAATTTAATTTAAAAAATTATCTGGAGTGCTACCCACATTTGTCCCTAAATGTTGAGTCTCCGTCGTACTATTATATCCATTCTTTATCACCATTTATGACGCTCTGGAATAATTATGATTGGACGTTTTGGAGATTGAATCTTAAATGGTTCACATTGATAAGTTGGTAGTTTTAGGTCCTTATACGTGTCAGGGCACCCCAGGAGGATTTAAGTTGGTAAGAGTCCGGCAGAATGTTGATAAGTTTTTGGTGCAGAATCTAAAATAAATAAAATGGTAAGTAAATGATAATAACATTTTATTTTATTCCTTATAATGTACTTGATAAAATTAAAATTAAGTCTGTACAATATAAATAATCATGGAAGTTCATAGTAAACAATGACTAGTGATTGGTGCATAGCACGTAGTGGCGAACAGAGGCGAGCATTGGTCACGTGAGCACGAGCACGAGCAGCACTACTGCGAAGCCGGCCGCCAGACACACGATGAGGCCAAACTTCTTCTGAAACAGCGAGAGTCCGGTTGTACAACATGGCAGTGTTTGCAGTGTCATGGCGTGTTGCAGGACCTGCCTCTGGCGGCGCTTACCTTGCGCGCCTTGGTGCGGCTGACGGTGCCCTTGAGTAGTTGCGTGCCACCGCTTCCGACGTGCTCAGTGGCCTGCAGTGCGTAATACTCCACGCTGTCCACCTGGTCTTGCTGCAACATAAGAAAGTTTAAGAATGAGTCAAACCATTTCTAGCTATCATTACTTTATACACAGCGCCACATTAAAAGATAATTGTACGAAAATAGTAGACTTTGGTGTAGCACATAGTAGGGTAGCCTGGGGACGATTGTAACAAGTCGAATATTTTTGAATCTAATCACAGAAAGTAGGTGAGGGCTACAAAGGATGAAACGTGCCCGCGACGGCGCGACCTGTCCCTACACGTTAACCTCTGATGCGTCATCTTTCGCGCCACAAAAACGCGTAAAGTGAGGTTGTAACATTTTTGTATTTTAGATAATTGCAGATGCCTAAACAACCAAGAAAGATTATATGCAGTCGTATATAAAGGCTTACAATGAATTGAATTTATCTACTTGCTTAAAAAAAGCTGCAGAGAGTTGCGGTCTTTTTCAGGTCTCTCTTTTGAGATATAAGCGAAAGAGAGATGCAGCAACCGAAGATGATGATCATCAGGCTCAGAATTTTACAAAGGGTTTAATGGGTTTCGTGGCTCAAAAAAAGGAAGCACAGACTATGTGAGACCACTATTTGGGAGTGGATATTATATATGCCATGTCTGTAATGATGAGTCTGATGAGATATAAGAATTTTTATTTAGTTTTAAGTTAAAAGAGTTTTGTTTTCGTAAGTATGTTTTTTTTGTCAGATAATAGTATTTTGTTGAACTTGATCAATAAAGAGTTATGGTGTATACATATGTACCTATGGTTACTTCAGTTAATTAAAGTAGTAATCTATATATATATATATATATATATGTATATGTAAAAGAAAGTCGTGTTAGTTACTCCACTTATAACTTATGAACGGCTCAACTGATTTAGCTGAAAATTGGCAGGGAGGTAGTTTAGAGCCAGGAGAAGGAAATAGGATATGGATGATAAGGAGATAGGATAGATTAGGTAATGTAGGTTAGGTAGAGTAGGGTAGGTAGAGTGGGGTAGGCAAAGTAGGGTAGATAGAGTAAGGTAGGTAGAGTAGGGTAGGTGGAATAGGGTAGATAGAGTAGGGTAGGTAGAGTAGGGTAGGTAGTGTAGGCTATATAGAGTAGGGTAGGTAGGGTAGGTAGAGTAGGGTAAGTAGTCAAATGACGGGAGCGACGCCGCGGGTAAGAGCTATTTATCTTTTATATCTAAATTAAATGCTCCTAACATATCGTTACTTTGTTTTAAGTACATTGCAGCATTTTTCATGATTCTAAATGTGTTATTTATGCCTATTTTTTTAGTGTTACAACCGCCCGGTCGCCGGGTTCGGTTGTAACAATCGCCATTACTCATTAATATCCCATATTGCTGCTCCTCTATTATAATTTAGTCACGGATTTCGATGTTATTTAAGTGATGAATAACTATGGATATAACTAAAAGTCTTTAATCGCTGTAATGGCTGTGCTGTGGGCAATTATTATAAAAATGTTATAACCGTACCCAGTCTTCCTTATGAGGTGTAAGTACATTTGCACATGTCAATGTCGCTAAACCTTTTTTACATAGACTGTAAGCCTAAAACTGGCCAGTTTCAACCAGACCGCCGCAGTCACCGCAAAAGAATACAAAAAAATATTTTAGTATTCTTCTTTTGCGGTCTCCCTAGACCATGCGACGGACATTCAAGCTATTCATGAAGGTGCAGCTCTTCAGGAAAAGAAAAAGACACAAAAACTTCATATTCTGTGATTATAGTCTCTGAAAGTTGGTAACTGTCATTTTTAATAGCTCTCAATATTTATAACACTGTGCAATATTTGCGCATTTTTGCTTGAACGTAGTCTAGTCTTGGCATGTAACCGTTCGTAAGCCAAAGCTACATCCATACATGAGTGCACGGTCACCTGCTGCGCGACGAGATGCGCGAGCTGCGTGAAGAGGTCGCGCACGTCGCGGAGCGCGGCCTCGAGGCGCGCGAGCTCCTCGTGGCGCGCCTCCACGTCGCGCAGCGCGCGCCGCGCCTCCGCCGTCTCGGCGCGCACGTTGTCCACGAACAGCGCGATGTTGTTGGACTCCAGCAGCGCCTCGCATTCCTCCTCCGACACCGACAGCTGGGCTGCAACACGCCACGCACTCACATTCAACTCTCTTATTGAATCGAGCCATTGAACTTGTTCGCTAAGCGTTATTTCGAAACATCTAACATTAGCAAAGGCTTCCTAATTATCCCGCTAATGAAAGGCTGCATACAAATCTGCGTGTGTTCAAAATTTTGTTTAATTTTAAAGTCACGGCTGGTCATGAGGAACATTAATTAAAAAAGATAAGTAGGGATTGTATTTCATTGATAAAAGCGAAAATAACATGTAGATCAATTAATTTTGTTCTTTTAAAAAAATACCCAAATTTCTTCGTACGTGGCGAGCAAAACTACCAACAATTACCAACAGTCCAGTAGATATATGTATGTGTAGGTACAACAAACTGCTTGTTCAAGTCATTAACCCGACCTTCAGTTCGACTTTAGCAGTTTTTGTCGGTTCGTTTCATGTCCGTCTGTCCGTACCTAATACCTGTACACAGTCACTTTCTTACTTCCTAATATGATAATTGTTGCATAGAACAACTCCCAGATTACGCTGCTACTTCGAACAAGTTTATTTAGAGGCAACAGCGGAGAGGAGCGGGCGGCGCGACATGGCGCGGTGTGGTCATCCTACATCCGCTTGTTCTCAATTAGTTAATGCGCCATATCCCGTTGTGGCCACACTGGCGCACTAGACTCACTGAGCTGGATCTGATGCTGCAGCAGGAGCAGCTGGTGCGCGCGGACGGCGTCGAGCGCGGCGTGGTGCCGCTGCAGCGCGTCCGCGTACAGGCGCCGGCACGCCGCGTACTGCAGCCGCGCGATGCGCGCCGCCGCGTCGTTGCGCGCGCTCAGCCTGCCCTCGAACTGGCGCAGCGCCCCGCTCACCTTCAGCCCGGTCGCATTCGATGCTGTCACTGCCGCATCCAACTGCTCCTGCAAATCTGCGAGCCAGTCGTGTGAGCTCGGAGCGAGTAACTGAGGGCGGCGGGGGCCGGACTACTCACTTTTGTTGGTGTGGAAGGTGGGGTCGGAGTGCAGGCGCCGGATCAGCTGTGTGTTGTTGTCGAGCTCGTGGATCCAGCCGCGCATGCGCTCCACCTGCAGCACCACGCATGGAATGAACGAGCCGTGCAGCGCGGCGTCGCCGGGTCAAGGTCGCGGGCCGCGATAGTGCGGCGCGAGTGTAAACAAAGATCGCGTCGCCTCGCGCGCCGACCTAGGTGTGACGCGCGCCTTGTCCTACATCATTATTTAGTTTTGATGGAGATTACAAATAGGCACTGTAATAACACGTAACAATATGTTAGTAAGCGTTAACAGTAATAATAAATACGTGACGTCAGCAGAGCGCAGCACATGGAAAATTTTGTGTCACTATCATTATGATTATGTGACGGGCTGCGAGGGAAGTGCGGTGCGCGTGCGCTGCACTAGGACGAGGCTGGCACTAAACAATTAGTTGGGCCGTTAATGAACACAACGAGCTAATCGTCAACATCGCACGTCCGCCGTAATGAAGCGGCGTGTGACTGCGGCCCGCGGCTCGTACCTCCTGGAAGATGTCCTGGATGTGCGCGTCGTGCTTGGCGGCGGCGTCGGGCTGGCCGGGCTGCACGGTGTCGCAGTACACGCCGCCGGCCGCGCCGCTCGCCAGCTGCAAGCACACGCTCGTGAGACGCCGCGCCTGTCCGCCTGGCCGCGAGTCCCGGCCGGGCTCACTCGGCACTTACATGCTGCAGCTCGGCGAGCCGGTCTCGGGTCCTCATGGCTGTTGGCGGCGCACAGGTGCGGGCGGTGCGCTCGCGGCGGTATCTAATCGCGCACTGATAACGTCGCTCGCACTGATATCACGCGACTCACCGACTCAGCGACTCAGCACAGCGCGCGCCGTTCACTTGAGGTCACTCACACCACGGACTGTAGCGGCTCCGACCACTCAACGATGAGTACTGAAACTAGCCGCGCATCATTACATTATTTATTTGCCTACACTTGCTAGTTTGCAGCTGACTAAACCATTAAAGCCGATGACCCTTCAAGCACCGTAAACATTTGATTACCTGAGAATAAGACTATTTAGCGAATTAATTACCTGTGTTTGTAGCGACTGCAGCATGAGGACCGGTGCAATCTGATACTGAATCTACTGATCTAGGACCCGATATATTGATAGGTGTAGAATCCAGATTGTCTTGACCGTAGTATAACGACACGATAAAAGTGCGTGAATTAATATTTCACAAAAGCCGCAGTCATCTTCTACCTTTAATTGCTCGGGACATTAACTAATGGTATAATGTAGTAATGCTAACAACGATCACATTATTAAGCAATGTCGTGTCCAACTGCATATGGATTAATTTAGGGAATCGATTCAAATCTAACGTTTTGAACTGGATAATCGGAACTTGGGTCAGTACCAAGTGTCTAATGAGAAGATAGCGACATTCTATGGCACAACCATCACACCTCACATTACCAGATTACCATGAGCGTACCTCCTTGAAGAACCAGATTACTGTTACCATACCTTCGTGAGCAACAAACCAGTACCTTCGTTTTTGACTTTCTGTTGCGAGAAACAGTGAGACAAGCCGCCTTGAAAAAGGCGTTGGAACGTTTTTGACTTTCTGTTACGAGAAACGTCCTGCTAGAGATCTAATGTGGGGCCTCCATTGCAGCTTGTCATATGCAGTAATCCCCAGGAATGTGGTCTCCTTCACAAATTTCAGTTTCTGACCATTTAATAATATATCATCGCATACGTAACTTTTAACATTTGGCAAAATAAATCTAATGCATTTCGTCTTTTTATCGTTAAGTACTAAGTTGTTTTTTGTGAACCAATTTTGAACTTTCATTAAAGTATTATTCACTTCGTCACAATTATTTGATCGTCTATTTAACTTAAAAATCAATGCACATCATTGATTTTTAAATTTTCATCAGCGAATAATACCAAATGCGGTTCATATTGGAATAAATGGGGCAGATCATTCACATAAACCAAAAATAGGAGTGGACCCAATATTGAGCCCTGCGGCACGCCCACAGATATTTGACTGTGAGTTTACTCTGTTTACTTGTACTGTAAGTAGTCTTTCTAGAAGGTATGACTTTAATAAATTTAGAGATACCCCCCGAATGCCGTAGTGTTGCAGCTTTAGTAATAGTGTCTCGTACTCAACACAGTCAAAAGCCTTCGAAAGATCGCAAAATATTCCGATGGCATCCTCTCCTTTTTCCCACGAGTTGAAAACTTGTTTTATAAGCGATACTCTTGCGTCAGTAATGCAACGTCCCTTGGTGAACCAGTTTTGTTGGTCACGGCAAATAGAATTCGTGTTAAAGTAACGCAGTATTTGAGTGACCCGTTGATCTATATCTTTATTAAAAACTAGCTATTCTTGCGCGGTTTCGTCCGCTGCTTGCTTTACTTTGATATCTTTAAACGTCTTTATTACTGCCTGGGGGTTTGGATGTTTAAACCTCCTAGGACATTCTCATTAAGACATTATAAGACGTTACTCCTGAGAAGCTCGAGAGCGAGTGCTGGAGATGATTTCAACGTTTCTGTAGTTTTAAGAGGAATATTTTTAAAGAAATGTTCGAAGTCAACTAACGAATTTGTGCAAGTAAATCCCTTTTCGGGTTTTAAATTAAATTCTGTGTTATTAGATTTGTTTCTACATGTTTTCTTATTAATAATACTCCAGGCAGCTTTTATTTTATTTTCCGCGGTCCTGATTTTACTGCTAATATAGAGCGATTTAGCATGCTTACAAACTAATGTAAATATTTTTGAATATTTTAAGATAGGGTTTAATTGGAAGGAAGGGCAATTAAACCCTATTTTACCTACCCTATCTTATCTTATATATATCAAAGGGAAGGCAATTAAAAAATAGACAAAAATATTTCAAATTAACAAACAAAACTTTGTACCTATGTTCTATCAACGTCAACATTTTAAAGAATGGTGTTGCCATGCTCTAAAAAAATGAATGCATTAACAACTGTCATCCAAAAAATTATAGTAGCAGCCACTTATTAAAAATAAAAGTAATTAGTTAATTGAACTCTAAATATATTTAATAAATAAGCGTTATTTAAATTCACATGACTGTTATTTATTCATATTATTGAAGCAGTTCTTTATATCTGCAACACGAGGACAGCGACATCTATTGTGATATTAGTCATTTAAAAAGATGTGAAGTATTTCTAAGTTACAAATATAAGATGGCACCTCTATCTTTGCGATAATCGACAAATACGTTTACCTAAACGATGTTTCGTTCTCAATCCTTTGTTTTATAGTAACACTAGACTTCTTAAAATAAACTTTACATCCAAACATAGTATCCAGAAAGTAAATTTGGGAATACATTTATATGGAAAAATACGACTAGGCTACGCTCTTAATAAAGCAAAAACTGCGAAATAACAATACAATACCATATTTTAAGTGTGGGAGAGTCAAGCTTCGGCACGAATGGGTCGGCTCGACCGGAGTGATACCACGGCCTCACAGAATACCGGCGTGAAACAACCCACAGCGTTGTGTTTCGCCGTGTGAGTAAGGTTACCGGAGGCCCAATCCCTCCCCTTCCCCTATGCCTTCCCGACCCTTATATCCGCAACCCCTATCCCCAAAAGGCCGGCAACGCACTCGTAACTCCTTTGGTGTTGCGGGTGTCCATGGGCGGCGCCGATTGCTTACCATCAGGTAATCCGTCTGCTAGTTTGCCGACTTACCTATATACCATAAAAAAATTCTCATAATATTTAAGTATAAGTAGGTATTAGTAGGAACTATGAAGAATGATAAGTCCGGGTTTGCGAAAACATTATTGAGGCACCCGAAAACACAACAATATTTTTTCGCCTTTTTGAAGTCATGATACTCGTAATTTGACTGCACGGTTGGCGCGGTGGCTGGGCAACTGGCTGCCGCGCAACGTGTCGCGGGTTCGATTCCCGCACGGAACAACTCTTTGTGTGATCTACAGATTGTTATGCCGGGTCTGGGTGTGAAGTGCATGTAGAATTTGTATGTTTGTAAATGTATCCACGGCACAGGAGAAAATCCTAGTGTGGGGCAACGTTTTATTTAAAGAAAGAAGAAATTTAAATGGCCGCCACCGGCGATAGTTGACGAACGCGCGTTCTACTAACTAAGCGTTAATAGTTCGTTGCCATTAAGGCATTTCATGAATATTATTTCTTCCCTTTACATCATGCAAATTAAATAAATACGTGCACACTTTACCGACTCGTGAATATGTCCTTGCCAACTATATTCCAATCAATTATTTGTGAACATTATATGTGGGTACAATAAGATCTACAATAAAATAAAACATAGTGATATGACCGTCCTTTGGTCCTAAGCTACCTTCGTACAGTTATAGGTTTTAGCTAATTTTCCCCTGACAAAAAAAAGGTTTTAGCTAATTGGTACAAATACAATCGATGTTCGCTCGTATTTTCTATTACTAAAATGTATTCTGTGGTTCGTAATACGAACTTCGTATGAAAAAATTTGTCTAAACTTACAATGAGCAGTCGTCTTAGTTGGTAACACAGCGCCATCTATACACCCATATACGTACTACTATCTCGATTTGCCTGTTACAGTCGCTGAGCCTGATATGGCCGACTTCACATCGTGTCAGCCCGTACAACGTATAGATGGCGCTGGTGATGCGCTATCTACGCTTAGTACATCTTTCGCAGCTACCTACCTAATAAATATTAATTTAAGTTTTAATATATTATTATTTATTATACCTATGTAGTTACTCTAAGTCATGACCGCACGGTGTTCTCACGATTATTTTAATATGTTTATTAGAAGTAAGTATATCTAAATCTACGAATCAAGAATCAAACTTACCTATAAGAAAATGACAACCATTTTCTTATAAGTTTTATTTATGTAGTATACTAATGACTGTGACATCTTTTAATGTGTTTTGTTTCCGCGTTAATAATAATTGTTTAATTTTTTGTCTCATTTTAGATCTGTACTTATTCTGCCATAGTTTGCGAATGCAGCCAACACTCGCAAAAACCTACCTAAGTATAATTAGTAACTGTGTGATGTAAAAAAATGCACTGTAAGCCTTTATCTACACAGAAGCTGTTGGTAAACCCTTTAATAAATAAATAATATAAGAATAAGTCGCTATACGTGTTGGTGAGAGCAAATCTCGAGAAATACTAACCGATTTCGTCGTAAGCAGAGTAGTCATACTCCCGTGGAAAGCTTGTTAACATTAAACAAGGTTTTGGGAATAAAATTCTTTGGTATCGTTGACCGTGCACTGCCGGCAGGGTAGGAATGTAGGAATAAATACACATTAAATAGAGATTGAGCTGCTGTGGGCTTTATTTATTTATTTTACACTTCTTGCACAACGTACAATGGCGGACTTAACGCCTTAGGCGTTCTCTGCCAGTCTACCTTTGGGTGGTGGAGAAATAAGAGTGGTAGGTGCATCTCTGTTGATAAAAACAAGGAAGAAAAAACAAACAAAACACATGCTACAAAATTATTGCTCAATACAATACTATATCAATACAATATATGTATATGTTTTATATACATATATATAGCTCAGACTATACGTATACATAGGTACCTACGTATAATCATATCCCACGGAAAATAGTGTCGAAAATTCTATTGTGGAGATTCCGCCATTTCTTCCAGATGTGATCTCATAGTTTCAATTTAACAGCGTTCCTACTATGTACCATCCTGACCTCCAATCTAGCTCAAACATGTTAAATGAAATAACAGGCATAGCTTAACTTTTATAACTTATTTGATTTGTTGGAAATATTTAGCTGGTGGGTACGTGTGGGTGCCGGGGTTGTGGGACTAGCGCAATGAGGTCCACGGGCCTCGTCCTAAAGCAGGTGAAGGAACGGGGGCCTCACCCTGGGAGTGAAAGAGTGTGAGAGAGAAATCATTTAATGCTTTCGCTCCCAGTCGCCGGATCCGTTAGCCACTCATAATTGATAACAGAAATAAAATAATGTCCAGTGAAACGAAACATTATTTGATGTAATATTTGAAGAGAAGATATCGTTTATTGAAATAAACATAAACATTAGGTATTTGACTATAGTTTGCGCTGCTGACTTTGTAATCAACTCACAAAAAGACTCGAGTTAGAGATAGCATCACAAAATTATAAAATTTTTATTCCCTTTGTGTGGACTTCTTGCATGTGCCAATTATTCAACAAACTAAGTAGTTTCATAATTTACTAAGCGCATATGGTAGAACCACGCCTAGAACAAGTCAATGAAAAATATAAATCATTATTTCTTTTTCCTTTTTACTGTACCAATTTTACCTCAAATAATTGATTATTAAGATTATGTATAATATAGTCGCGGTGGCCCAGAGGTTAAGGCGCCCGCTTCTCGTGCATAAAGGTGCGGATTCGAAAGGCAAGTACCAATGTGACTTTTCACGAGTTATATGTAGGTACTTTCTATGATTATTTAGTCACCACTGACATAAGGTGAAGGAAAAACGGACAGTTGCAAACCACATTTCATTACCTTCAATATACCTACATAATAGTTTGCACCCACAAAGATTTTTACACTACACACGAAGACATATAGAGACAAGATACACACTTGGACACAAAACACGCCTAAACTTAGCATCATCCCGATTACAAATACACTCATCAAGCCAAAAAATACACTAAACTACCTGAAATATTAAGAAACGAAAAAAAGACACATTATATTTGCAAATTAAAAAACTTCTTTTAAGCAAATGCTACTATAGCGTCAAAGAATGTCTGGATGATAAAAAGATAGTCTGAATTAACAAATTACAAAATAATGTAAACACCTGATGGATATAAAACACCTACTAAGTACTGTATCTTATTATAACTAAACTTATCGTCTTCGTTCTTAGCAATCAGCGCCGCCCATGGCCACCCGCAACAACAGAGGAGTTACCACTGCATTGCCGACCTTTTAAGGATTAGGGATTAGGAGCTTTTAGGATTGGAGAGGGATTGGGGGAGGAGAAGGATTGGGTTTCCGATAACCTCACTCACACGGTTGTTTCACGCCGGTATTCTGTAGGGCCGTGGTATCACTGTGCAACACGTTTGTTCCCCTTCACACTAATTTATGTAAACAATACTGTATAGTGCCATACTGTAACCAGTTTTACAGATGTACTTGCGTATGTATTACCGTGGGTATATTTGCGACATTAACCGGCGAGTCATCATCATTAGCTGAAAGACATCCATGCGGATCTGGTGAACCAAGGTCTTACGTTAGTCCTCCGCGTGAGGGACATTTATGTTTCCAAGACCGTCGTGCAGTCATATTCAAACATGAAATAAACAATAGAAACAACATTCACCATAATTGTAACTAAACACACCGAAGTTCCCAAATATATTAAAACCTTTAGAGACGGTCGGGTCGCTGCAAAGTCGGTCCATCGCTCGAAGTATACACTTACGTCTAGAGCTCTGGCTGCAGCCGCTCCTTCACTTTGCAGGTTTCCACATTTTGTTCGTAAGAAACGCTCGCGAGCTGATCAGTTGACAGAGAGATCATTATCAGTGCCGCAGGTAGCTTCATCATCAGTGCCTCGATGAGGGCACTCAGCGCAACTTTACGATCGCCGCCCCTTGAAGTCGCATGCTTTAGATGACGCCTCGTCACAGCCGACCCACCACAGACCCACCACAGACCCACCTAGCTAGATTACTTGCCCTAAGTGCAATTTGACTTTTTTTTCGACATTTCAAAATGAGTTTTTTTACTTACTACGAACAGACGGATTACCTGATGGTAAGCAATCAGCGCCGCCCATTAATACCCGCAACAACGAAAGAATCACGAGTACGTTGCTGATCTTTTAGGGATTAGGGATCTGAAGATTTTGGGTTTGAGTAGACACAACGCTGTGGTTGTTTCACGCTGGTTTTCTGTGAGACCGTGGTATCACTCCGACCCCATCGAGCCGACCCATTCGTGCGCAAGCTTGGCTTCCACACTTACTACTATACATTGTATGTCATATAAATGTGCGTTACAATTTTTGTAATCCACTTTAGGTTACGTGTGATGTATAACAACATCCTAGTGTGGTTTGATAGAGCAGTGTGTGAGACGAGTAGCCCATGGTAATGGTGGGGCATCCCACGACACTACCATGTGTTTTAGGAATTGGTGGTAATTTTACAAATGCTGAAACAGGACACCTACAGAGAAAGTGGCGAAGGAGCGATGAGGTGATACAGGACATACCAAGGAATAAAAGCACCGGTTAAAGTCTATGATGTTTTATTGTAACATACAGATAGTTTTCTACACATCCACCTTACATAGTCATCGCGTGGAGCGCTTACTGATATGAGCTCTGTACAGCGGCGGCGGCGAGCGCCTCGCTCCCACATAAATAAAATTCACGTAATAATATATAAACCTAGCCTAGCGCGGGCGCAGGGCCCGCTCGTACATCTATATACACGCTAACACTAGTCTGTACACCGCGGCCGCGCCCGCGCACTATTTACAACGAGACGATATGTGTGAGCCGGGCCGGGGCCGCGCGTCAGTCGCGCGGCGGCGCGCGCGCCAGCAGCGCCAGCGGCTGCAGCGCGTGCAGCGCCAGCGCGCCCGCGCCCCCCGCGCCCCCCGCGCCCACCGCGCCCCCCGCGCCCTCGCCCGCCGGCGGGTTGATGCGCTTCTCCTTCTGGCGCCGGTTGCAGAACCACACGCGCACCACCTCCTTCTCCATGCAGAGCGCGTCGGCGAGCGCCGCGATCTCCTCGCTGGTGGGCTTGGGGTTGTGCAGGAAGGCCTTCTCCAGGGCGACGCGCACGCCCGACTCGATGGAGGTGCGCTTCTTGCGGCGCCGGCCCACGGCCTCGGCCAGGCCGGCGCCCAGCGCGGTCCCGGCGCCGGGCCCCGCGCCGCCGCCCGCGAGGGACGAGTCGGCGTCCTCCAGCCACTTCTGCAGGAGCGGTTTTAGTTTGCACATGTTCTTGAAGCTCAGGTTGAGCGCCTCGAACCGCGATATCGTCGTTTGTGAGAAATCGTTTCCGTACAACTTGCCCATCGCGAGGCCGACGTCGCCCTGTGTGAACCCTGCGGACAATGCATTGTATTACTTTCTGTTCGTGTAATGGCAGGCCTATACAGGTCGAGGCTCTCTCGTTGCTAGCTCACCGAGTTTGATGCGTCTCTGCTTGAAGGTCTTGGCGAAGTGTTCCAGCTCCTCGAGGTCGGCAGTGTCGTCGGGCGTGGGTTCGAGCGCGCGCGGTTTGTGCGCGTGCGCGTGCAGCGGAGTGTGCGCGTGCGCGTGCAGCGGGGAGCGCGCGCGGCCCGAGCCCGGCGTGTGCGGCGTCAGGAAGGCGGCCGCGCCCGGCGGCGTGCGCCGGGGGGACGGGGACCGACCATCTGCACCACCACAACGGTTATTGCACACTGCGCTCGACAAGGCTGACAGTACGTTATCCACACCACTGTTGGATGGTATCGGCAGGTGGGGCAGCGGACAGGAGACCTCGAATGATCCCGTCTGTCCGCGCTCGGTGCTGCTGCTTAGACTTTGATGGTTCGTTTTAATTAGAGATGTGCCGACAAAGAGTTAAGCTACATGATAAATGTGTGACTGTTCCACTCACGGGAAACAGCGAATACTGCTTGTATGTTAAATAAATATGTTCGATTTCATATTGTTGTTAGATGCACATATTTCTTCACAGAATATGTACTCAATGAGAAGCAACTAAATTGATCCATCGTTGTGTAATATCGGCAATTACAAAAGGGACCGATCTGTCAGCTGATTCCCTCTTGTACTATGCGTTGCTATTTGTTCAAATTGTGAGGGAAATTATTTTCGAAGACTGCAACGTATTGCCGACCTTGTCTAGTGCCTGAGTTATGGCCAAACAAAACAAGATCACGAAAAATGTGAACAATTGTAATAAGTAGGCAACGCACCTTGCATGTACTTATAAGTGGGCGAGGTCCCCGTGGTGGGGGGCGGCACTGCGCCGGCGCGCGCCTGCAGCTGCTGCAACTGCTGCGCCGCCGCCTGCGCCACCGCCTGCTGCACCTGCAACGAGCGACGCGGGCGTCAGCGCTGCCTGCCCGGCCTGCGCGAGGCGGGCGCGGGGCGCGGTACTGACCTGCGTGTGCAGCAGCAGAGAGTGCGCGCCGTGCTGGGTGAGCAGCAGATGCTGGAGCTGCGCCAGCGCGCTGCCGGCGCCCGCCGCATTCTGCACACACAACGGACAACGTCAGGCTCGGCCTCCACGCTCCAGCGAGCGCCAGGTCTCTGGGCGGACAGTATACTCACGAAGACGGCGGCGGTGGCGGCGGCGGCGCTGGCGACGTGCGGGGGGTGCGCGGGGTGCGCAGGGTGGGAGGGATGCGGCAGCGGCGCGGAGGGCGCGCGGGGCGGGGAGGGGGGCCGCTCGTCGCCGCTGATGTCTCCCTCGCCGCTGGCGGAGCCGTCTGCACAACAAACTCACGTCAAGAGATGCCTCACTAGCCCTCGGTACTCCACCACCCGCCTCAGCGAACTTCTTGTCGTCACTGTTTCGTTACAGTTAGGAAATAACTACATAATATGCCACTCGCCAAATTTGTTTGGTTACACGGCATGCCGATGAGTGAAGACTTTGCTGTGCGTCCGCTTGTCTGTCTGTCGGCCACCAGTGCATGTATCTCATGTGCCTTGATAGCCAGATAGTTGAAAATTGGACAGATCGTAAACTGTACTATAACACAAATTAAACACTGAATGATAAAATGTATGTAAATACAACTGATTTTTGAGGTGTACTCAAAGTGATTGCAAGGCAAGATCATTGAGGCACCGCCTCGGCCTAGAGGAGGAGAAGGAACGGGGGGAGGAGATTTTATGAATTTTCCCTCACAAAACAAGCTCCCGTGTGCACACATAAATGGGTTGTCGAAAAAGCTCAGTTTTGCAAAGCGTAGAAACAGTTTAACATGTCATATGGTATTCGGTTGCGGAGAAATGCTGCTGACACTCAGTCTATGTTTGTTCTACGGAAGGGGGCTATTCAATTAGTCCGAAGCATTCACTCAGAGAATTAATTAAGGAAATTAAAATAATGACAGTCGGGGAATGAGCTGCTGTAACATGTGCACAGGTCATGGTGACGTGTTTGTGCCTTCAGTGTATTTTGTATGACACGGGAGGCCCGACTGAACATTTCAATGCATTAGTATTTGTGACATTGTACTATCGTGCAACAAAAACATATTTACTATGGAGTCCCCTCAAATATTCGTTTTATGCTGATTTTATAATTCTTTACCAAACAAAAAAACACAGTGTGGGGGCCTCTAATGCCTGTATATCATATAGACCTTCCAAACAAACACAACAATAAAAAAAATAGTATAATCAAAATATATCGAAATTGCGAATTTGTCGTGCACCGCTGATAACAACTAGAATAATTACTGATAAACAGTTCCTCAAAAAGCGGCCAATAGATAGACAAAAATATTTTTTAATTTAGCAAGATCTGATTTAAGGTGGTGACTAAATATATTACAATGCGCACTACAACACGGTGCCTCAGTTTTACAAATTCTAATCATTGCCTAGCAGTAACTGGGTAATGTGACATAGGTGCACGAGCCCCACAATGCGCACGCGCATGCCTTTTGTTGTGTTAGATGTGAGACGCGTCCCACTGCTCGGGGACCGTCTTATGTTACTTTCCCTAATACTCGTACTAAAAGGGGTGAGCCACCCTTTACCGACGCGTGCGCAGATTCTTTGAAAGGGGTATTGATAAGTTATTTTTTGTAGCTCGTGTAGCTGAGGCGACGACGTACGAGCCCCACAGGTGGCACCACCCACTTGCCGCTCCACTCTCACTTCCTTGACAGTGATGATATATGCATATCTAACGAATTAATTAATAATTGGCCGAATTGCTTGTACCCAATTACGAAATACTTTTATAATAATACGTCACAAAAAGGTTTTCTATTAAAATGGAACTGGACTTTTCAAAACTAGTGTGCAGTGGTGGTACAGGAGACGTGGAAGACCTTTACGGTTCCGATAACTCGGTGATATTTTTTACAATTATAATTAATTAAAGTTATTTCAAGTTTCGATACGAATGAGTAATCAAAGAAAGATAAAGGTCAATTTTCAACGACTTTCAGAGTGTTGGTCATTGTGTATGCAACGTATTTCGTATAATAAGATACATATTTAAATTTTATGGCTGCACGGTTAGCAGTGGCTGGGCAACTAATTGCCGCGCAACGTGTCGCGGGTTCGATTCCCGCACGGAACAACTCTTTGTGTAATCCACAGATTATTGTTCCGGGTCTGGGTGTGATTTGTATGTGGAATTGTATGTTTGTACACGCAGCCACGACACAGGAGAAAATTTAATAGTGTGAGGAAATGTTTTTAATAAAAGTAAGAAAAATAGTTTGAATACAAAGTGTCGAGCTTACTGACCGTGGCTGGGCGGCGGCGACGGCGACTTGATGAGCTCGCCGGACTCCTCTGTAACAAACAAAGCACAGTGCTGAGTAAACATAGCACTCGGGGCAGTGCTGCGGGCACGACACGTACAGGTCAGTGTGCACGTGTGCCGCGCGCTAACTACATAATCTCCAGCTAACACAGCTAACTCCCTGTAGGACACGTAAGTTCGCGCCGACATCGAGGTGGCCACTGGATCAGCTCGTCAGCGTCAGCGGCCGAATTAATGCAATTAACGGGATAAGCGCGCGGCGACACGCGCTGCGGCCGGCGCGGCCGAAGCCACAGACACACCGGATCATCAAATTACAAGTAATGCTGATTAATGAGCGGATTAGACACCGCTCACCTGTATCCCTCTGCCGTGACACGGCCACTCACTTACTGGGAGGCGCAAATGAACAGTGCGTGGTATTCAAGCACATCCTGCACTATCAGAACATTGTCTGCTCGACGACGTCTATGGAAGAAGTCGGATTTCATTGTCAGATTTTACTTCAATAGTACCTAAATATGTATTAATAACGATCCTACAATTCGGAACGAGCTCCTAGTTTCACTCACGAACAGATTGACGGGCTATTATTCTATTTCAACGTTTTAAAAGTAACTGTATATATATGTAGGTAGTAGTTTGGTTAAAATAAATATTTTTTATGGAAACACAAAACGCGAGTGATGCGTATATCTTGTAGTAGAGTGCTACGCCGGTGCTACGAGCTATCTACGATTTGCTACGAAATACAAAAAAGCAAAATAGTTATTTTACAAGGAATATCATAAAGTGTTTTTTATTGCACGAAATAATATTTAAGTACATAAATATCTGAGTAACCAACGTACTTAGCTACTTAGTATGGCATGCCACTGCTTTTGCAGATAGCATAATACATACTGTCTCGTGCCACTGCTACTGGTGGGGCGGATGCTCATCGTCAGCCAGCAGTGCACCTGGCACGCATTAGGCAATACAGCTCATGTTTAGGACATTCACACGCGTGTACGTACGTTGAGAGAATTTACCCCCATGTGGGCACCATTCCCAGTGCCAGCCCCGACAGCTCAATGTTGTCTCTCGCTGATTCTGTGTTTAAATTAGTGGTTTGGTTTGGTTACTGCCTGTTGTCATAGCTAGTCGCCTGGTTAGTAATGGATGAGTGACACATCTTGTAAATATGTATATATTTAAGTAATAGAATTTGGCGACTTAAAGTAAATAACAAAGCAAAAAGTAAAGCGACAAGTCGAAGCAAAGAGCGTGTGCGTGGGAACAGCGGACTACCTGCGGCCGCTGCTGCCGGCTTAAGGCGCTGGTAAAAAAAGGATTTGTGTCGACACAAATGTTCATTTATTCAGATATAAGAAGACGAATTCATAAAAATGCATCCTCGATAAAGAGCTTCATTTGGTGAAAAAAATGTGCACGCATTGAGACGTCGGCGTGAGTTTTTATACGCGTCGCGATGCAGGGCGCACGGCCTCTGTTACAGGGAGGTTCTACTTCGACATTTGTGGTTGAGTAGGCGAAAGTTTAAGTGGTGAATAATTGTATGGATTCTAATAAATGTATGTATGAATATATATGTAGAATACCAAACACATTCCCTAGGACATAGCCACTGAAGCTATATTAAATTATATATAGTTTTAAAAGCATATTTTTGTTCTGGGACTATTACAAGTTACAACTACATAAAAAATTTCCATGATTTTTGAAATTTTTAAATTGGTGATATCTTTTCCCTTGCAAAGATATCGCCAATTATTCTAAGGATTAATACCAAGGTATGAATAAATAGCCTTTTCAAGCAGCGGTATTTCAGTTATGAAAAAACACACAAACATACAAATTTGTAGAACCACATTATTAGTTTGTAACCGACTTCCAAAAAAGGAGGAGGTTCTCAATTCGACCGTATATATGCTTTTTTTATGTTTGTTCGCCGATATCTCCGTTGTTTATGAACCGATTTTGATAATTCTTTTTTTATTGCAAAGGAGATAGTCTCAGAATGGTCCATGATAAGCACATCAGGATCTGATGATGGAAGACCAGAGAAATCGAGGGGAACTTTCAAAAATTGTAGGGGCGAGTGGTGCTTTTGCATATGATTTCAGTAGGCTTTTGACAAATTTACAACTTGCCGATGTTCGAATCCAACCTGATGATGGAGCCGAAAGACAGTCGAGGGATCTCCTTGACTATTTTGGAGTAGTTGCCTTGTGTTTGGGCTTGAATAATTCGTATTGGTGAGCACTTTGCACAAAGATTGGTCGTGACTGTCATTAAGGGTCTGATGATGAGAACGATGGACAGCTCAGGGAACTCCTGAACGGTTTACAGTAACTACCTCGTGTTTGAACTTAATTCATTTTTATTGATGAGAACTTTGCACCTATATGGATTATGTATAATGAAGGTCTGCAGTATACCTGAAAATGGAGGTCATTGACATTCGAGGGAATTCCTCAACGATTTACAGCACTGAAAGCTGACTAACTCAGGACGGACTCTTTTAAGAAGCATCCTAGCTTTCTCTGCCTATCACTTAAAATGGTGAAATAAAATAACTTTTAACAAAAAAAAAAAAAACCGACTTCAAAAAGTAAACTAAAAAGCAAAAAATAAATTAACTTTGTTCAAAGTAATACATATTTTCATTTAGTTAAATAGAAAATAATATTTAATAACTATTTTATAATTTTGAAGTCGGTAAAAGGTAAAAGTATTAGAAAAATATATTGATCGGTACCTAATAATCATCAAATTAGCGAGACGTATGTAGGTAATATCTTTACACTGTTATAGTTTTCTTGGCACCGACTTTAAGATTATAAAATAGTTATTAAATATTATTTTCTATTGAACTAAATGAAAATATGTATTACTTAAACAAAGTTAATTTTTTTTTGCTTTTTAGTTTACTTTTTGAAGTCGGTTTTTTTTTGTTTAAAATTATTTTTATAACTTGCGTGAGAAATTCTAAATTAATTATTATGTGTTATTATTTTGTAGCAGCGCGACAGTCACCGAGTTGCGTGTCGCGGAATGCTGAATATGGGCCTCTACTAGTCGTCTAAACTAGTCGAGTATCTCGTCAAATTATTACGTGAGTAAGCCGAAAACATAATAATTAATTGTAGAACAGTTTTCGCAGCGTTCGCGATTAAAGATGGCTTTTTCGTATTTTTTACACCTTGGTTTACATCATCGGAGTTAAAATGAGGAACATAATTTTTTAAAACGTAATCTAGCCTATGTTACTCAGGTATAGTGCAGCTTTCCAATGATGACAGATTTTTTCAAATCTTATCGAGACAATCAATCAAACCTTTCCTACTATAACATTAGTATACTTGCTAAAAAATGAAAAATATTTTAGTAGAGTCTAGTAAATATGTAAATTTTTAGGAAAGAATAAAGCATATTTAGGAAATGGTAGATTAAATATAATTTTTGATCAAACTTTGTCTGTAAAGTTTAAAGACTTTATCCATTGACTTCATCCAACTTATGTTTCAATTTTCTCAAGCTTCAAAAATATTAAAAAATACAAAAATTAGAGGCATGTTGCCTAAACAGAAAGTTACTAGGCGTTGCTGAAACATGTGCCAAGTTCAGTAAAAATAAAAGTAGCCTTTGTGATATTTGTATGTAATGCCTACGGGTCACGTAAACACTAGACACGTTTTTTTCAAAGAGTGACCATGGAGTCTCTTCTCCATTCGAATCTTCAACTTAGAACGAGCAACTAGCTTCAATGACAAACAGACTGACAGACTACAAAAGTTTCAAAAGTTTATGGTTTAGTTGGAATAATTTATTTTGACTTTGACTTTGACGTATGGTATATTTTACAATTTAATATGTATAACACTTGTCCAGAGGTGCAGATCAATCGGAATCAGTAAAAGAATTATTGATGTCATTGGAAGCGTCTACATCGTCCGCAGGTTGTAGGCTGTTTATTTTTAAAATAAAAACGTTGCCCTACTCTCGGATTTTACGACTAGAGCTTGCTTTATAATGTGAATAATAAAGAGGCGTACCTAGATGATATTATTTGCCAATATTTGCTTTTAACAAATAAAATGAAATTTGAAAGAACGAATGTTAAAATATATATTTATGTTTAAAATTTTATATGACGAGCATACCATGACGCTTGTGGTATATAGTAAATATATACTACATTAGTTAAAGCAAGCAAGTGTTTGATTGGCACCACAAGTGCAACACTGCGGCCGAACTAAAGGTTGTTAATAAATATGTTTGTAAACAAAATGCTAGAACCCGCGACGCCTACTCGTCAGGCGCGCCACTCACTGCAGGCGATACGTGAAGCCAATCAATGAGCTGTCGATGGATATTGTTGTTCGTCTGGGTGAGTTGTTTGATTACAAATAAGTCAATATTTTATTGACTTAGTAATAGTCCACAACTAGTACCTGGAGCCCTCGCAGCGGCTTCAGTGCCCGCAGCACTAGCGCAGGCTGCATGCCTACATCTCGGCTACGAGATGATATTCGTATTGCATACAACAACAACAATTCACTTTGTGGGCTCCGCAGCTGGAAGCTCCGTTGCGTTACTCCTCAGTATTAAGAAAGTCCTCATTGAAACTAATTTCCTACTAAAATATTTATATTTGAGGTGTTTCAATCCCATTCACCCCTTATGAAAAGCATTGAAAGTATTTGTTATTTATTGAAAAACGTTCGTTCGCAACTACAGATATCCTAAAAACCTATTTAATTTATTTCAATCACAAATAGTTATATGTTTTTGTATCTTTCAGAGTGTCTTGTATTTTTTCCAATAATGTTTTCATACATGGTTTGTGATGCTAAATAACTGCTTTTTCCTTATTTCAAAGAGTAATAGCGCACAGTGATATAGTGATGCAGTGGACTCACGGTAGCGGGCAGAGCAGTAGGCGCGCGTGTCGGCGCGGACGCAGGCTGACAGCACCATGGCGTGAGGAGAAGGAGCGAGATCGGTGCGGGCGCGCGGCTCGGCGCGTCGCGATACACTGCGGCGCCGGCACTCGCCCGCCGGCGGAGCGCGCGACTCGCGCCCCGCCCCCCGCGCCTCGTCGCACCCCGGGTGCACCCCGCTCAACCCTCAACCGTCGAATTAAAAAATTTAACTTTTTTGTACGAATCCGTTTCTTTTTCCGCCCTTTAGTGAATTTTTTTCGCGGAATCTCGCCATTATTTCGATTACCTGAGATGATTTTTTTCGCTTTCGTCGAACAGATCGAGCTCGATGTGTGTTTAAAAGCTGTTTAATTTTTTTAGGAAAGGGGAGACGGGTCGGCTAACCGATGCGCGAATTCCGATATCGGGTTCGATTGAAATAAAAACTGAGGCCGGGTTGAGCAACGTGTGCCGCGCTCGTTACTGCTCTATTATTAAACAAATGATTGGAACATTCTCTCCGTATCTGCTGGCTCACATCTAGCAGCTCGCAGCGAGCGTTCTGCTAATCATTGTTCTCATTGTGTGTCTCGAAACGTTTATAGATCTGATTATCGAATCTCGACGAAACTGTTAGACAACAACTGTTTGCAAGAAAACACATTATCCGATCCGAGGTCCAACAATAAGGAGTAGCGCGAGTAGAGGTGTGCAGTGTGTACACAACAATCGGAAGACGATAGTAAGGAGATGAAAGGAGCAGTTCCTGTTTGATGTGGACCTGACGGTAGCCTTTGTGATGCTAATGCGGACAAACACCGGCCGATGAAAGTTTGATTCGGTCCGACCGCCGCCCGCTCCCGCCCTCATGCATCTCTATCCAAAGAATGCATTTACGTAATGTGCTCGCTGTTTGTTTAGGCGCCAACATATTGCTACTTTGAATAAGAAATTCGCTTCCTTTGTCGAGAACTCTTGATATTTTAAACTGAATAAAATGTGTTTACTTTGTGCGGTAACCGCTCGTCTAGTGTTATTTCGCAGTAAGCAGTAGTTTGAACATTGCTAGTACACGACATCTAGACATTTTCTATACTATTCCAGTCCTTGTGATTTTTTAGAATATACCTAGTTCCACAAGGCGACTTGTTTCTCTATCGTTATACAACATTCGCGGTTATGCGACCACGCGCCGGCTACGCCGGTGTCGTAACCCGTAGCAGCGCTACGCGGCCCGTAGCCGCTGTCCAGTTCGTAGCATTATGCGTAGTAGGGGCGGACCCTCCGTGTTTTACTATTTTATAGTATTTGTATGAACAGTGATTTCTATATTTAGTACAGTTTTATGACGTGTCAACCCTCATACCTTGAGATATTCAATTAAAGATCGGTAGTGTAAGGGTTGCGAGGGCATGGGGTCGCGGGAGGTCGCGGAGGGCTCCGGGAGGGCGCTGCGACGAGTGGACGGCCTTTATGTTGAGCTTGAGAGGGTGCTCAACATGCACTCGTTGTAGCTATCCGATAACATCTTTATTTTATTAATCTCATTTATATAAATTGTTTTGTGAGATGAGCTGCGAACAACGGAGTAGGTAATATAAAACTGTGGCGGAGCTTGACAAACGGACGAAGGTCGCGCCCTGCACTGAGAGCACTGTATGACGGTGCGACCTCACAAAGGCTTAGTTTCCACAAAATACTAAGCAAAGTCTCAATAACATAACATTCATACAAGGCTGCCTCGTTTTACTAGTGGTGACAAGCGCGACTGAAGTTTACCTTTGATTCCTGGATCGTGCAAAGTATGGCTTAGTGCGTGTGAGCGTCCGCTACAGCAGTTTGCATCGCACACCTGACAGCTGGCCAAGTAGGTGTGTGCTGTGCGGTTTGTATGTCGAGAGACATCGCGATAATATTGAATCCGTCAGTAACTCGATGGCAAAACCCGAGGAGGTCGGAGGACGGAGGTCGCCGCCATTTTGGATTAGTGCTCTATTTGCATTTAAAATAACGCGTTTCACGCTTGTTACATCGGAGGGGTGCATCGCTAGCTCGGTTCTGGTGGCAAGTTGCAGCGAGCGAGTACATGGGTTCCGAGCACTCTGATGTGAGTGGTCGCTGTGTGCTGGCGCAGGCCGCGGCGCGCGGTGTGCAGCGAGCGCGGCGCGTGCCGGGGATTGTGGCGCTAATCAATAGCCGTGCAGCTGCAGCCTGCACCCCGCCCCGCGCCCCGCAGCGCCCCGCGCGCCCGTGCCGTGCCTGACTATACCTTAAAGAGTTAATTTTTGGCTTCATAAGCCGCGCCATTGCCGCCGACCGGTTGCCGCCTATATGCTACTCGAGTAGAAACAGCGTTTGGTTTTTAATTAGCTTGTACTCCGAGCAGTAAATACTAGGAGTCGATACAAGGCGACATTATGTTCCGGCGCCGTGTGGTGGCTCGCTGGGCCGGACTGCCAGCTGTGGCCACTCGCTGCTGCTGGAGTGTTGTGTTGCAAATTGCCCCATAATATTAATATCGACATATACACTGCAGCACATTGTCAGTCAATAGCGTTATTATAGTAACGCTAGACTTTGCACAAGTTCAGAAAGCACACAACATCAGCCGACACAGTTCGCGGCAGTACATAAGTCGCGCGTCGTATGTAAATCACTATGTAAATGTATGGCGCAGGGATTGGCTCGCGCCGCGCCGCGCCGGCTGCCACCCTTTGCCTATCAGATAAAGCGACGCTAAAAAACCAACTGATTTGTTTACGGACGACGAGACCGGGCCGGGGGTGCGCGGGGTGGCGGCGGCGGCGCGGGGAGGGGTCCCTGCCGCGGGTGAAAGGGTTAAGGGTGGGCGCACACGGCGCGTGATTTACGAGCGGCGCGAGCGCGCGGCTGTCATTTGTAAATTATTCCGTCGCGCGACAATATCGGTGACGGGCCTCATTGAGCCGCCGCATGATATATGATGCTCACCCGCCGCCCTGCGTTATGTAACTACGCGCTAACTCGTATTTACTGGAACACTAACTAATCAAATTTTGCAACAACAAGGTTAACATTAGGTACTCAATTGTAGTGTACGACATTCATATTCCATTGTCATTGTAGTGAATGAGTCAGAGAACAGTCACTGCCCACTTTGCACGGAATGCAAAGTATAAAGGCCGCGGGGTACTGCCTGCACTGCCTCAACACTGTACTTCGCTGCAGCCACAACCCTCATACACCTGGCTACACGTCACACGTTATGGCAAGAAAGTACCGAGGGAGGGAATTTAATTAACATTTTATTCTCTCCACCCTACCAACAGAGAGTGTAGCGCTGTAGTGGCGCCCTCCACTCTCCGCCGGCTCACATTGCAGAAAGCGGCCGAGGTCTGCTTCGCACTGGTGATCGTCCGTAGAGTTAACATCGCAAACGTGAAATAATGAGAGGATATCCTAATTTATTTCTAAACGAGCAACGGTAACTAAACACGGAAAAAGCATAGTTTATGACTAACTCTTTGATTTTCCCCACACCCAATCCGCTTTTATTTAGAACTATTTTTGTCAAACTCTAATCAAATAGTTACCTACTATCAAACAATCTGCAGACTTAGATCCGCCAACTACTGTACCATGAAGGAGTTCTTTAAGTTTAAAAATAATTAGAATTTTAAAAGAATTAGTTTAAACTTAAATAACCTCCTCATAGCTCCAACCTGTGTAAGTTCAAAACACAATAAAAAATGTGATTATTTTATTTTTGCATTATTTATAATTGCATTATAAAAAATGTAAATTCGAAATTTGGGTGGATAGCGAGGATTTAATGTGGAGTAATCTTACCGGGATACTTTATTTTGCTAGAGTGTTTGTTCTTAAAGAATCTGAGCCGTGGCTGGCATCGCTTTCAACTTGCCACATATTTTCATTTCCAGAAAGTCCCACATCAACTGTGAGCCGCGAACAGAAAATATTTCATTATTGAAAAATAAAGACAGAATTGAATCGATTGCATTCGGTTAGTGAGGGTGCGCACGCGCAGGCGGCGGGAGGGGGCGGTGGGCACGTGTCGCAACCCTTTAGCGGCAGTTAACTCTATTTAATTTAACAATCCGATGAAGCGGCCGCGGGCCGGGCCGGAGCCCCGCGATGCGGGCGCCGGGTGACGCGGCTCGTTATCTACGCTTTAATAATATAATGTATAACGGGGCCACATAAACATTATAAATTACATTAATCACGTGTGGCGGTCGTCGGAGCCGTATATGAGCAGTAATGTTAGGCTACGGCCAGGGTCCGCGCCCTGCACTCCAATCAGCCGCGAGCCGGAGGAGCATTGTGTCCAGGTCGCGACGTGCGGGTGACAGCGAGATCAAAGCGCCGCGCGTCGCCGGAGGGAGCGAGCCTCTTCGCAAATGTAATATCACTGCGGCCACTGGCCAGGACCCGTGCATGCTAACAAAGACTGAACCAAATCAATATCCCCCTGTACATCCCGTCTTAAACATTCATGTGAAATGAGAGCGAGCCAACTTCAAATCTACTAATATTATAAACGCAAAAGTTTTTAAAACTTCGGTGTAGACAAGTTAAATTTTTACACATTGAATTAAAATAGATTTAATATTACTATTCTGCTCTGATAAATACTTAGGCTTCGCTTCGAGCAATCGACCTCACAAAAAATAAAATAATTACTAAATATAAACAAAGACGCAACATATTTATACGATCGCAGCTAACATCCCGTAACTTAATTAAACCCATCAACGCGTTTACCCTCGCCGTACCCACTTCCTATTTCGGTATTTTAAACTGAACAAAAACTGATCTCATGAAGCTACAACGACCTGTTTGCCCACTAATAGGAACCACCATCATCGATCGTGTATACAAAGAATAATTTTACCGAGGGAGGAAGGGGGGCGCGCTATTATAGATATAACAAACCGTCCCAACCAGCAAATCACAAAGTTTTTCCACCAGAAAGCCGAAAACTCCTATTTCTGTACTGGATAAACATTACACTCCACTGCCCCGCAGATTAACGACAAAATAACCAGTAAGAGAAACAAGCAGCCTGGGCACATAAATCTCCATGGCAGACCTTGCCTCGACTTGCAGCAAACCCGTGTCGACATGAAAGCGTCAAACGCGTGGCTGCCGCGAGGTGAACTCTTTCCTGAGACGGAGGGTTGTATGATTGCAGTTCTAGATCAAGTGATAGACATTGCTAACTACCAAAACTGTATAATCCATAGAACCAACTACAATGACTCCCGTAAACGTTGCCATGGTGCCTCGGAGACCATCCAGCACATCAGTGGGACGTGAACATAGCCTAAACCGAATATAATCATCGCCACGACCAAGTTGCCAAGCCATCCGAACAAAATTGACTAGAGACAACAACAAGCTGTACTAGAAAATGAACACCGCAGACTGTGTTGGGACAGGACTATTATCACAAACTAAACAATATACAACAATACACCTGATATAACCGTGTTACACAAACTAAGTAAATTTGTTTATATAATAGATATCGCCAAATGCAATGCATACAACGTGGTACTTCAGCCGCCGCCCGCCGCCGGCCTCCCGGTACACCAATCCCATCCTAGGCCACAAGTTGTGACACTTTACATTCCTAAGTTTCCTAGTCTGCGTCAGCTAATTGCTGTGTCCGCTGAGGTATTATGTTGTCGATAGTTATTTCATTATATTCCTTTTTGCACACTCTAACTCATACAATCAAGAAACAAAAATGTCAGTCAGTCAGTCAGTCCCTCGTCGAGTAAAAAGTCGATGACTGATGCTTTTCAATCAGTCTAACAGTAAATCAATGATCAATTTAATTATACGAAAATAGCGTAACATAAAAGTATATTTCAAATACTCGGATCGGTAGGTACATTATGTGAACTTAGGAATAATATTACAAGTACTCTATGTAGAGCGGACCTGTCTCAATAGACGCGCCTGTACTCCACTAGTCGACCACTAGTAGAAAATATAGAAAGGAAGAATATCCATTTATTCGGAACCTGCATTTATTGCAGGGAGTCGGCTCGCGGACGGAGTCACGGGTATAAGCCAGTACTAATATTATGTATGCGCCGCGGTGTTGCTCTACAGTATATTGCCCAAACCTCACAAACCGTTTCAGACAGAGAGACAGAGTCTTGTATTCTGCATTCAATACGAAATGATCATGTGACGTTGATGAAATAAACCAGTTGCAGTGAATGTTAGGCGGATGGGCAGCGAGTGCGCGGCCTGTCGCTGCTAACGAGGAGAGTGTTGGTAAAAGTGAAATGTGATTGTCTGCCAACAATGCTACGTGTACATTGTTACAGCTACTACATGGCGCACGCGCACGTGTACGAAGGGAGGCGCGGGGGGGGGGGGGGGTCGTAGTGAAGCTGCGCGCACGCACAATGCAACCCTTCGGTATTGTGTCGCGAGTCACCCTTCACCGTTTCACTTTTCACGTGGCGCGGAACAGATTGCAGCAGTTTTTTATGTAGTTTCCGTTGGCAGGTCGCGGGGCGCCGCGGCGGCCCGTCCTCCGGCGCTCGCCCCGCCCCGCGCCGCCGCTCTGCATACACTGCTGCCTCCTCGTCACTCGCTCTCCTCTCTCCTCTCCACAGTTTCATCACGAGTTGCGTCACACGACTCACGATATTATCACCACACAGCTCCCGAACCCGTGCCCATATCATTAGTAACCCGGGACATATGCGCAGCATGGAACCATTTTGTTCGAGTTGTCAAAATTACACTGAAATGTTGTTGATTACAGCAATCGTAAATATCCAGTGCACCTAAAGTTTGTCCTAGTTTCCGGATCCAACTGTATTTAATATTTGGACTCCATCGACTGGGACCGATCCATAAATAAATAAAAAATCTATTGTTCGAAATTAAAGCAAATAATTAATTTATTTTAGTTTTAATTTAAAAATATAGCGTTTATTTAAAGATATTATGATACTATACAATTTTACAATATACGTTATAAAAACATAACATAAATAATTCCTAAGATTATATAATTGCTCGATGTTCATTGTTTTTATATAATTCATATGTTTGGTGATGTTATATTTTGTTCATTGGGTTAATTCCTTGCGACCTTCAAAAAAGTCCGCTTCCTTCAGGCAACACAATTGATGTTCCATAAAGTATTAAGCAATGAATATTCTTGTGCCAGCCGACGCTAGTTTGTTGCAGAGTCCAACACAGTGTAAGTAAACGGTGTTGTAGTGCAATTGCTACTGCAGGAAACGAGGAACCTGATAGTGGCGACTACTCAGCCAGTCGCGGGTAACACTGTCCTAGCCCTGCTTGACTTCTACTGGTCGCCTGCTGCTCGGTTCGTATTGCCGCAGCGTGGTGGCCGGACCTTTCTATCTTGCAAACCACTGAACCTGTTTCAGTATTTTGTGCATTTTATTGTTAGTTGGAGACCCGGGTAGGGACGTAGGCTAATTTTCATTCCGCAAAGGCGAACGGCAGTACGGGAGTTGTGTACCACTAATATTTTTTCGTGTTTTGGGATACTTTTTGGTTTAGTCGGTAGTTAATATGATGAACAAGGCCTGTTTTAAACCTTGGTTTTTTAAAACTTAGGACGTAAGAGTTATAGCTTGTTGTTTTTTAAAGGTTATGTACTAGAGTATTAACTTAGATTGTTATTTATAGGTACATAAACATTATTTTGGTGATTCGAAGGTTGGCTATACAGTTGCAACCGAGTGTTCCAACCATGGAAGCGAGAGGTGCGTTTTCCCAACCACCGGATGATGGCGCGTGCTTTACATCCACGACAAAAAGTAAATACACAAAACAAGTTCATCTTTATTGGAACGCTAGTTTGCTTCCATCTAGTCGCTCTATAACGAAGTTTTAACTGGGTTTAGGGCACAGGTATGTAAAAAAATACTTCAGGATTAATATAAGTAATTAATTAGGTTAGGTTCAATATATATATACGTCTTTAATCACTTTACTTGTTATTTCCATTTCAAAATGATTATTTATAATTCCGATATTTGTTTTATTTTACAATGACAACTTCTCAAAACATGACTGCGATTGGTCAACGATTTTAGTCCGTTTGTTTATTGTAATCTTTTTATTGATATTTCTAATTAATCCCAGCTTGTAAAAATAGAACAATTACATAAAAATTAATAGCTTCGCTGCCTTCATAAGTGGGACAAGTTCTAATACATAACATTATCAAAGTATGCAGTACAGGACCTGCCATTTGCCTTTAACTGTACGTTACTGTAGCTACGATCTCACAACAAAGAACACTTTAGAATTGATTACTTGTAGAATAAAATTTGGAAAAGGCGAGAAGTCAAAAAGTCTAAAGATGAATAAGTTGAACTGAACCAGTGACACAGTTACTTACAAGCGATGATAAGCATGTGAGATGTTCTCTTGATTATGTTCGGTTTTATAGAAATGTGTGAATATGAATTCTTTATAAATAACGTTATCGGTGTGGGTGCGACATTAATGAATCAAGGTGATCCCATCACAGAGTAAGTGTGCACGGTCGCAGCATGGAGGTGCCGGCGCTGAGCCCGGCTGGAGGAGGCGGTGAGCTGGTGGGCCGCGCACTGGGTCAGTAGCTCGCTAACGAGTTATTGTGTCGCTCTGTAAAGGCAGCTGATTCGCACTTTTTTGGTAAAAAACCGTTATTTTGCGCACACATCTCACCCTTCCAAGTTAAAAATTTCAATATCCCTTTGAACAATGGATGCGATAGCATCGCGTTTTTTATAAATCGAGGATTTTTAAAATGTGGGGTAATGCAGTTTTTATTGTAAAACGTCGCCGCGGCGGAGACGTTATTCCTTCCCACGGCCGGGAAATGGGTCAGCCATTGTTCCGTTCTTCGTTTTTGTGCTAAAAAAGAGATTTCGCAGCGACGCGGGGACCTGTCGCCTCCCGTCGCGCGCCCCGCACCCCTCGCACCCCTCTGACATACATTTTTAGGGTAAAAATGTAAAATTACGGCGCAGCTTGCGACCGACTTTTCTCAGGGATATGTACAGAACAGTTTTTTATTCCGCGATAAATGTAATAGCGGCTTGTAGTACAAGAGGCCGGAGCCTGAAGGGTTGCGCGACGCGGAACGCGGCGGGAGCGCCGAGACATCTGTTGTGTTGACGATTACAACATTGCAAATATATTTCAACGACGCACACGCTGGAGGGAGGCACGCGAGGCACCAGAGGGGGAGGGCGGCCAGCAATAAAATGATTAGGTAAACAAAACGAAGGCTGCGGGCTGTTTACAGTGCAGGCGCGCGGCCAATCGCGGGAGGAGGGGCGCGGGGACGGGCGCGCCGGGAGGCCGGGAGGGTTGTGCCGAGATTACCTCCGTTTTAACGCGCGAAAGATTTCAAAGGCGGCCGGCCACTTCACAAATAATCCATCAACATCTCGTCGCGACCCTTTAAAAGGCCACTCGGCTCAGCGAGGGCGCAAATTCGATTCCGCTATAGATTGGAGTGCATATTCAACTAACGAGGTTTGTCCTCCCTCCCTCCCTCCACACACAGACGGAATCCACCTGTCCGAAGTATAGAGCAGACGATACATACCCGCTACCTGCCTGTCCTCACGTCCTCGCGCCCTCTCTCTCGACCATCTTCCATTCTAATTCTATTTATTGAAACACTTTACGCCAGTACCAGACAAGTGGGCTGCGAGCGTGTGTGCACACGGACACCCACACACGGGCAGGCCCACACCTGCGACATCAATAATTCCGAAGTTCATTATGGCTCGCGATGGCGCGTCATAGAAATTATTGAAAGCCCATACATATCGTATTACTCGCGTGCGCTAACGGTGCACCACCCCCCACCGCCCCGCGCCCCGCGCCCCGCGCCCCGCGCCCCGCGCCTGCAGCGCTAGCTGTATGCTGGACTGTATGAATAGTACCGAGCTGCCGCTGCCGCTACCAGGACAGGTGGCACCAGCAATGCGCTGCGCAAGTAGTTACACTGCACCATCACCATGCACCAGCGCCGCAGTAGTGGCTGAGCAACAGCACCCGGTCACTCGGCCTATGCATAGACAACTTTAATGGTGATTATATGTTTGAGACGTTTGGGATTAATGCTTTAGGCCTGGGAGACTTCGACAAGAGTGAGAGCATGCTTTATTGTTTGTAGATTTTGGCATTGGCGAGGGAATTGGAGACGGGAAGGATTAGGCCTCCGGTTACCTCACTCACATGGCGAAACACAACCCTGTGGTTGTTTCCTGCCAGTTTTCTGTGAGGCCGTTTTGTCACTCCGGTCGAGCCGACCCATTCGTGCCGAAGCATCGCTCTCTCACACTTGACCGATTCGGCTTGCACCCTTCAATGTGGAATTGTAATTCAGGGGTTACTGATGGACTGGTCTGCTACAACCATGGTCTATGACTATATTGTCCCGCAGTGTCCTATATCCTGTAGGTACACGCACTGACTATATTTAACAACTATACTCATTCCATCTTATTATAAGTACAATATCAGCTTTAAAGCATAAATAACGGCAAGCGGAGTAACCGTACCTCATGGAGCTGGTCCTCCATACAGCTGCAACGAGCAACGAGCACTCCCTGTATACAGGTGTCCACACACTCTCCAGCTAACACTATGCGACCCAGTGTGTGCAAGTAACGCGTATGTCACTACACGATAATATGATCTACGTTGTTATAAGCTGCTAACATTTTTTTAAACGGACCAGCTTCCGAAATATCCATCTTATAGTATTGTATATATGTATATTTATCTCTTTTTAAAACGAATACTAAGAATTTAGGTATGAGTGTAAATTAGTTTCAATGCATTTTAATTTTGCACTTACAATCACTTTGACGTTAGAAATAATATTATCCAGATAGGTTCTAAAAATAGCTATTCTGATATTATTAAACTGGGTTTTTAAAAAATACAAATAAAAATTAATTATCCTTGAGTTTGTCATTGTGGTTAAATATAAGCTCAACATAATTAATATTCCATTTGAGACGCATCATTCTGCTGCCACTCCGCTATATAAATAAGATCGTAAGAAGTTTACTAAAGATAGAGACTACAATACATGATTATCCTATAGCCATACATAGGCACGCAGAGCAATATCCTTTCTGCTTCTGAATTTTCTGTAAACTTGAATAAAATCCGCATTTCATAAGCGCTGCGTTCTAAATTATTCAAAGATTGGAAGAATCTGAGCAAAGCCGGGGCTACTATTCGAATATTGTTTATATAATTGTCACCCGACTGGCAGTGCGGCACGAGCCAGTACTCACAGAGCTGCAGTCCGCAGGCAGTCGGGAGCACGCGCGGCCTACAATAACATCGGCCATTGTTTAGCGCGGCGCGGTACAAGAGGTCTCTACCGCTGCTGACAATGCACCGGTGAACAGTAATCGAATCATAATCGTTAATCGCACGAGCTCGAATAATCGGGCCGCGGCCGTCGACCGCGATTATTAATCGAGAGAGGATGCGCGAGCGCAGGCGAGTGCGGGGTCGCGAAGCGCGCGGGGCGAGGCCGCGGTCACGAGCGCCCCACGAATGCTCAACATCTGAGATTTGAATACTAGATAATTAATATCGCTTTATTAGCAATGGAAATATCGATTTATGAAGATATTATCGCTTTGTGCCGGCCGCCTCCATCATCAGGCGCGGGCGCGTCACGGCGGGCCGCTCGGCCACAATATACTGCGCCTGCGCAGCGTCGCCGCGACACACATGTCGCCGGGCCCGCGCTAACCTGGTTGGCGACCTGATTATATCTGCACCCGCTAAACGATATCTTGTGATGGATTGCGGAATAATTCGTAAGCGCAGCCTGTACTGTTTGTACCTCACATTCAACAACTGAACCGTAGAATCAGATTAAACCACCAACAGCTCGTGGATTTTATACCCACGTGCTATGCAATGAAATAAAAATGTGCAATAATAAACTTTATCATTATTCATTAACTAGCTCATACTCGCGGCGTCGCACCCGGCTTTTGACTACATACCGTATTCTACCTACCCTACTCTACCTAACCTACACTACCTACTCTATCCTATCCTATATTCTTCTCCCAGTTCTTAGCTACCTCCCTACAAATTTTCAACCAAATCGGTTCAACCGTTTGTGAGTTTGAACATTGGTTTTCCACTAATAATTTAAAACTCAATGTGGAGAAAACCAAATGTATGCTATTGAAATCAACAGTGAGGAATAAGGATAGTATTACAATAACTTCAGTGGGCAACAATGTGGAAATTGTACAAAAGTTGAGATTTTTAGGGGTACAAATTGATTCGCGCTTAAGCTGGAAACAGGAATTGGAAGCTATTACTAACGCTCTCAGCAGTGCATGCCATGCCTTGAGAAGTTTAAGAGACGAACTAACCATGGCTCAGTTAAGAAATGTTTACTTTGCCCTAGTTGAGCCCAAGTTGAGGTATAGTATTAAACTATGAGGAAACAGTTATAAATACAATATGGATGCTGCCTTTGTTATGCAAAAAAGAGCCCTTAGAACTATTCTTTTCATGGACCAGACAGAATCTTGTAGAGAGCATTACGTAAAATTAAAAATTCTACCTGTACCTTGTCTTTATATTTTGGTTCTACTAAGTAGTTTTATAAAAAACCTAGAGAAATACGAGACAAAAGAAGAAAGGGAAATTAGGGTGAAAACGCGCAGGAAAGATCTGCCTAAATATTTGCAGCCAAATTTAAATGTTGTCAAACATAGCTCTAAAGTACAATCTGTAAAAATATTCAATAAATTGCCAACAGAACTAATAATTATTAATAGTCCAACAATATTCGCATTTAGACTAAAATAATTTTTATTGACGAAGTGCTACTATAGTATAGAAGAGTTTTTATGGGACAAAAATAATGCCACCAAGTAACTTGTTTTTTTTTTTATAAAGCAAATAGCTTTATGTTATTTTTGTTGATTATGTAATTGTGTTTTATTTTCCAAGTTCTTGATATTTCTTATATTATTATTGACTTGTAACTTATTCTGATAATTATTAGTAGGTATTGTATTCCTATATTATTGTAATCCTGTATTCGATTCAATTTTTTTTGTTCAGAATAAATAAAAAAAAAAGTTATAAATAGTGTAACTAACACAACTTTCTTTTATACTATAATATATATAGATTATCATTAATAGTGGTAAAAGTAAAAACTAAACCCGGAGCCGTACCGCACGTACGGACGATGCTACCTACTCTATCAAAAACTTTACTAGTATGCAAACGCTGACATGAACAACCAGCAAGGAGATCCGAGTGTACAAACATACACACACGCGTGTACAATGTATGTATTCGGGCATGCACACATTGCCAGATGAGCAGAGCAGAGAGCAGGCAGGCGACACAGTGGTGGCTGGGTGCACTACCCGCGGTGTGGTGCAACGTTCGATGCTTAGCGTCGAGGAGAGCTCGGTGCGCGACTTACTTTAATTTGTTATCTTAATTTATTAATCGGCTCGGGGTCGCCGCCCTCTCTCTCGTGCCGCAGCGCCGACGTCACGCGGCGAACAAAAACCTGCGCATACACACCGGCCATCGTGTACTCAATACTTGTTTCCAGTTTACGCCCGAGCCCTGCACTCTACTCTAACTATAATGTTATTCTGTACAGTTCTGCACCTCCCCAGTCTGTCGCTAAATGTAAACTTCGGTACAGAGTAATACTGCACCGGTACAGTGCAGTGCGAGCGTAGTGTCCCGGCGGTGGAGCACTGACAGAATCCCAGCCGTGCGGCAACTGCTGGCAGCGGCACGAGCTTTGGTTGCTCGCGAACAATGCGACGGAGTACTGGCGTGAGTCAGCATTTCCGATCCACATTTTATCTCAGTTATCAGTAGTAATACTAATAGAGTTGCCGAGACGTGAATTTCTTATTAGAAACCATATCAATACAAATCAGAAGCATTATATTACAACGCGCCTATAAGAATTGCAATAGTATAGTAGTCCAATAAGAGAGCGGCGTGCGCACGCACACAACACGCTGCGTGCGTTTATGTCGTTTGTATGAGCGACGCGCGCGTAGCCGAATGCGATAGTTTAGGTCGTCAGTCGTATTATTAATACTAAGCGTAGTTATGATAGTGTCCTGATGAGCTGGCTGCTTCACGTAATGTTACGACGTGCTTCTAGTTGGAACCCACGGCTTTCGTACATGTGAGTCTAGTTGGAATCTCCCACTAATAAGAATGTCATGGAAGTAACTACTGAATACTGTTCAGTAGCGCAGTGCTGTGCATACTAGACAGACACACAATAGTTATTGTGTGGTATATAGTAGTATAGTGCAGGAATGGTCGGTCAACTTATTCAAAATTAGTCAGCTTCCAGCTAGTGTGTTCACTAGCCCCCCCTCCCCCCATGCGGCTCCCAGCGCTCGCCTGGTGCGTGTTTGTTTGTTTATCACACCGTCATTACGTTTAATTAGCGGTCGGCGTGTCCGCTGTAATCATCGCTGCCACGGCATCACCCCGCCGCCGCCCGACTTGCCACCGAAGTGTATGCACGTCAAAATCAACAACCCATTCTGAGTCTTAAGTCTAAAGCAGAAGGTATAAATCGTAGTGGTGTAGTGAAGACCTGCAGTTGGAAGGAATTGTTTAGCCAAAACAATGGCGCGGATTAGAGCTCGCAGTGCGATCATTTGAATACGGAATGTGTAAGTAATTAGGAGGCAGGGGCGGCTCTAATTGACACGTGTCAAGCATAGAGAGACTAGTGCGTGGCTGCGGCTTCGTCCGATGCGTAGCCGTAGCTAATGAGTAGCGTACTGCTCGCGCCTGCGCAGTCGTGTCAGCGACCAAATATCGTCAGCGAGTGAAAGTCATCGTGGCCAACAGATGCTAACGATTCATTGAGCTTCTTACTAAGCGGACGGTTCGGGAAGCTGTGCGTAGGCAGCATTTGTAGCAACTGCACGGGTGCAGACTAAGCGGAGGCGTTTGTGATGAGCTCGTTCCTCAAAATTATTAACCCAAAGGTCTGCAGTGCCTCAGACCAGGCCCCGCGGCAGACGCCACGGCGGGGGGCCGCACGCACGCACTCTCTGCCAGCGGCTCGCAGCGCACAGAAGGTGCAGTGCATGCAGTGTATGCAGTGTATGCACTATGCAGTGTGGGAGTGGGTGTCCTACGGCTTGTCGCGGTGCGACTGCGGCGCCATTAGCGGCATCGGCGGCGCTGCGGGGCCTCTACGGAGCACTGCGGGGCTCCATGCAAATCGTTAGCATTTCTCAAGCTGTCGCCACGCCGCGTGGCGCTGCTCTAGACTCTGCAGCAGCACATGCCAGCCCGAGCCACTGCCATTTAAGACTTTAGTGCTAGTTGTATTGTACTTACGTATAATACAATCTTGTAGGGGGAGACCTACGTGTAGGGGGGGGGGGGGGGGGTACGTTGTAGGGGGAGACCTACGTGTCACGTCCTCACTGTGTATCTGTACTTGCCCAAAATGACGTGTTGCAAGGTGCGACCAGCGACCAGTCTAGGGGTCACGAAGCGGTTTCATCTTATATGTATGCATTCGGCTGGTCGTTGTGTTGTTAGCTCTCGTGACTCATTGTACTGAATAAATGAGGAAGTGTTTTCATTCGGTTTCATATATGTATTTATATATACATAATAATATACTACACGCAAATTTGTCAACACAGAGCTCAGCCAACAGCGCATAGAGCGCACGCGAGTGTCACATCAACGGCAACAATAGCAGAGCGCGGCGTGTGCGGCATGATCGGTGCAACTCGAATGATGGCACCACTCCGTAACATATAGTACACCCTGCGCTCCCAATAATATGTTATAACGAATCAAGGGATTCCGGACTCTTTCACTGTGTGGGACATTTTGTATTTCGATTGAATATTGAGGCCTTTTTTTCACTTGGATAATTTTGACAAATTGATGTTTTATGTTTTTATTTTTCCCACATTTAGGAATCTTACTGGCAGTACGTTGTAGTTGTTGCAAAATATGTACATGTGATAGACATGAATACGCTTTTTAAAACAAACTTTAACGAGTGTAAGCTGTATAAACGCAAGCAAAGCACGCGGGCCCTGATCCAAGTCCTATTGTAGCAACACACAGCGTGGCTCAGTGAGCAGAGAGCGGTCGGGCCGCGTGACTCGGTGCGACTCCGAAGTGAAATCGTGTGTCAAAGCGAAGCGCATCACAAAAATGGCCAGTTGATTGGGTTTTTACGGGTGAATTGGCGAGACCGCTAGGAATCTGAGCCGGGAGGCAGGCTCGGACGAGAGGGGTGCACGACGCGGGGCGCGGAGGGAGAGAGGGCTGGAGGGACTCCGACACAATTTAAAATTCAGATAAGCGGAATAAAGAGTGGCGCGTGGGGAATGTGCCGCCGCCGCAGCACGCGCGCCGCCTCGCTGCACACAGCCACTCCGTCTCCCAGCGTCCAGCCCGCGACTCACGCCGACATATGGGCCATCACTGTGTACTGTGGCGACAGTATATGCCAGGAGTCACGTGGACTCGTTTTAACGGAGTGTCCAAAAAGTATTGAAGTAACGAACGCTCCACCGACCCGGCATTCCCGCCAGGATGGTCCTCTCACTGACGCGAAGCTCGCGATACGCTTGTACGCCCATCGCGTACTCTGCATAATGGAGCTAAACATTTTGTAGTTTATTTAAGTACTCGGTTTAGGTTCGTGCTTAATGCTGCGAATCTAACATAATATCTACAATCACAAATGAATTGAAGAAGACATGTAAAACAAATGGCACCGCTATCTAGTCTACCACATTTTTTTGCTGACATGGATTATAAAACTTGCGTATCGTTGCAGTGGTGGCCCGGAGGTTAAGGCGCCCGCTTCTCGTGCACGAGGGCGTGCGTTCGAAACCTGGCAGGTACCAATGTGACTTTTTCTGAAATATATGTACTTTCTACGATTATTAAAATTTATACACCGGTAACATACGGTGAAGGAAAACATCGCGAGGAAACTGGACTTATAATTTCTAATTATAAGTTTGAAATCGACCAATCCGCCTTGAACAAGCGTAGTGATTAGGTAATGCTCAAACCTTCTCCGTGTGAAAAGAGGCCTTTGCTTAGCAGTAAGCACTTATAGGTTGATGATGTGAATGCGTAACTCATCTCATCTTATAGGTACTATTCGTAGAACATGCACCCCAGCCTGACAGCCTATGTCAGGCTGGAGTGTCGGGACGGGCAGCGGCGGGCACGTGTCGGGTGCCGGCGTCGCATTCGGAGCGGAACCGCGGCCGCACTGTGTGAGCTCATTACCGCGCGCCGGATAATTGAAAATGGCGAGCTCATTATAATATTTTAACTATTATTCATAGACGTAATTTATTCCCAGTATACTGCTTACACGCCGGTTAATTACAGCGGCACGCATGCGCGGGTCAATTTTAATGATTGTGCTTAGTTTGGCTGACACACTCGCCTGCCTTGTGTTCACTGTAAGAGCAAGCAGACCCTCGTGTACTGCCACGTATACCTGGTCAACTGTTACTCGGAGGGCTGTGACGTCACTGAGTGCGGTGGCGGAATTCACTGAGGTATCTACAATGTAAGTGAGTCGCGGTGTTTTGCATAACATTATGTTAATGCGAGCGATGGGGCTTCCGAGTGCCGCGGCACCGGGTGATTCATCGCAACCCACTACTTACTGCTAAATAAAACTTTCAATTACAACTACACCAGCTTATGTTTAAGAAACAAAATTAGCGCAAGCCACGATGCCGATTCTCAGGGGCAATAAAACTCGTAGCAATAAAATGTTTCATAATTTATAAAGCATGGCATTTATAAGGTCTGCAAGCAATAGCTGGCCCACCGGCAGCGGCGTGGCGGCCGGACATGTCCGCCAGCCGAGTGTCACCAGTGCCGAGTATAGCTCGCGCGTCCCCCGGGCCGCGTAAACAGCCGACAGCTCGTGTTTATGAGATGGCGGAATGTGACACACAGACAGGTCGGGCGCTCCACGACGTTTGAATGGCGCCCCTGAGACACACAGGTGTCGCACTCGGCCACCTCGCACAGTGAGGAGGAGGCACGCTGGGATACAGTACTGGGGGCTTGTGTCCGTTGATGTTGATGAGCAACGGATAAAGTGCAATGATACAGCTTGTGTGTGTTTACAGATTTATGAAAAATGGTGTTGTGGTCAATTTGTAGCGACGAGCTACACCAATGTGCAAGTGCAATAATGTGCCGCAGTACGGCTTCTGCACCAGGTCTTGGTCCACCAGCAGCAACCGGATAGTTTTAGACAGAGAGTGACATTCCCTCTCGCCACACCCAGACATTGACACGAAGCGACAGAGAGTGCACTATGCGCGGATGTGTGCTACACGTTTTCATCCAATTTACGTAACAGTAATAAGTAAATTATAGTGAGCAGTGAGCAGTGACCGTCAAAGTGCGATCCCAGGCGGCCCTAGTAGCCGGTGCCCGGTACTTATTACCATAATTCAGAAGCAATTTGTGAGGAACAATATGTGCGCCGGCGCAGTCGCTCACCGCGCTGATCGAACGTATTTCCATGCGTCGGTAACGACATTGGTTTGTTACGTGCCTCTGCCACGAAACATCATCACAAACATGCAGCGCTCCATGATCGGATCACGTCCACTCGTTAGCCCGGCACGGCGCCCCACTACCCCCCAAGTGCCCGGTGCTCTCGTGTAACAAAACTTACTCGGCGGACTTTTTAAACAACAAAGTTCATTAGAATATTGTACCCTACGTTATACTATTTTTAATAACAGTGTTGCACATTTGGATAGTCGAGTGGCGAGACGCGGCTAGACGTGAGCCTCCTGCGGGTAGTGCGTGAGTGTGCAGTGACCTTGACCGAGCGCGGGGCTGCGCGCGCGCAGGTGCCGGCGGCGCACGCGTCGCAAATATCAACACATGTCACTCACCCCCGACATCGGCCGGTCCCGTTGCTCGCACTCCACTGTTACGCAACTCTTTTCTCGATGCGAGATACTCAAATGTGTTCAGTGCAGTTAGCAGGCCGAAGCTACTGCTGACTGGTCTGGCACTGCCGGCTCTGGCTTATTCCACACATAAATCTTTTGATTTTTAATTGTCATTTCTTGTGGTCCACGAAATTATATTTTGCTTCTGTTAAAACGGCATGACTAACATTTGTATTATTACTACAGCAATGTTGTGTCGGAATATTATTTTCGTATACGCTTTTAAAATTATCAATAGTTAGGTACTCTACTCTGCCTGCCCTGGCAAAATTAATGCATGTAGTGCAACTTTCGCTTGGGTTTGATGGCGGCGGCCAGTCACGGACGCAATAAGCTGCATGAAAACAATAAACTACTCTCTCGACTTCACTTGTATACAAGTTGCCAGTTGGTGATGATAGGTCTACCAGCAGCCGTGGAGGCAGGGTGTGGGCTGCATGCACGGTCACCGTCTCGCTCGGCTGCTGGTGTCCAGCGCACTGCGAGTGGGTGGCGCCCGGCGGCGGGGCAGGACGGCTAGCGGGACCCTAACGTCCGCGCAGGTGCCAGTAACGGGACCTCGCGAAAGGTCATCCTCCCCCCGCCCCACAGCCCTCGCATAATTTTTTGTGGATCAAGTAGCAGTCAGTCGGGGCTGCGAGGTCGCGACCCGCGACTCGAACCCGGGCCCTGCAACCTGCATTGCCCAAGCCTACGTTTCGACAACATTTTTAAAGGGCATCTTTCTCCTCGTTTACGGCCCTATAAATGTATTTGTTGTTGCACTTTGTATAAGGAGGCCCATTCAGTACGCGGCCCGGCGCAGGCGCACTAACGTTGCGTTGACGATTTTTACTTTTGTATTGTTTTGTTTTTTAACGCTTCCTTCGGCGCTCGAGCAATAAATTAGAAAGTCGCGGCTCTCATTGTCACAATCCGAATGATTTTTTACAACAACCGCTTTCTACTGCACGACTATTGTAATTGCTTAAATTTTTGCCTAATTTGGAAAAAATATTTTGTACCCCGCTTGCAAACAGCAAGAAGTGCAAATAACGGTAATATCTATATTACAATATTGAAGCTACACCGGGACAGACCTTGGCACATTAACAACAGCTGCTGTCCATGTAGTTGCCCGGTGCTGGTGCCTGTAGAGGCGGGGCGCGGGGCGCGGGGCTACAAGAGTGAAGCAAGCAATGAGTGTTGGGACTCACCAGTGCTCATGCTGAAGCGGGCGCGGGGCCGATGGTGCGCACGCGCAGCTTGCTCGACGAATATTACTGCGTGTCCCGGCAGCTCGCGGGCTAGACCAGTCTAGGGCACATACATTATTCACCCTGCGATTAACGCAAAAACTGTAAATGTCAAGCGCTTTCCCCGCGGACCGGGAGGGGGAGGGTTTGTAACGGTACCCGGCAGAGGGGTGGCGCGACCTTTACGTGTCACTGTACCGGCCCGGTGGCCGCCACCCGCCATACCTGCGACTCTCTACTGGACCGTTTACATGATGTTTGTAGCCGACGTGTCGCGACCCTGGACTGCTGGACCCTTGCCCCCTACGAGTAGCAAATATAGAGAACTTATGTGAAGTAATACGATTTTAGAAATTAAAAAAATGGACTGCCCAACTTTGTTTAATTTTTCCCTTAGTTTTTGTGGGATATGTCGACAAAGGAGAGACGGTAATACCTGATGATAAGCAATCAGCTCGTGGACACCCACCACACTAGAGGAGTTACAAGTGCGTTGTCGGCGTTTTGTGGATTACAGTTTCGGAGATTTAGCCTTTAGGGATTGAGGTTGGTTGAGGGAGGAACCTCACTTGTATAACGGAACACAACGCTGTGTTTTTCACGGCGGCACTCATTCGTGCCGAAGCGTGGCTCAACCACATTTAACTATCCAAGGTGAAGTGTATCGATAACTCTTCGAGTACTTCTTCCAGCAGGTACCTGTTCCATGTAGTCCCGTGATACTGTAATGCCAAGCTCCTGCCGCGTGGCTGCGAGCCTTGTACACATTACAATATGCTAAAGAGTATTGTCAAAATATTTATTTTCCCTCCGCGACTGCAATGCTAGTGCTTAATGCAGGATCTACTAGATTACGCGAATATTCGTGTACTTCCGAATTTACTTATTCTTGTAGAGAGAATGCTTTTCCCAATTGTTGAATAAAACTAAGTAGCTTCTGATGTGTGTCAGTGAGCCAGCAACGCCCGCGTTTCAATATGTTTGTTCGTCAGCGATGTGCTATAAGATAGAACGCGCGCTGCAACTACAGTTAGCTAGGTACGTATATGGCGCAGTCCGCTGGCTGCAGACGCGCCACTACTTTAGAGCATTCTGTGTCACTGTAAGGCAATATGTAAATACGGCAGCGAACGATAAGCCGCGCTAATAATACAAGGTAACGCACGCGGCGCTTCATTCCTGCACATTTGCATGCGGCCCGTCTACCTGCGCGCATCTGCCTGCATTTTTTCGTCGGCTCCGTCTGTCGAACAATCGCTCGCACATTTCTTTCTATTGCCATTAGTTTGTGCCGCAGCGCCGCCCGCGCACCCCTCACACGTGAATACGGTTTTTTCATAATGCAGTTGAGATTTATTGCAAATCGTGCATTAGAATGTGAGCTCCGACAATAACGGCGCGCGTCCCGGTCCTCGCTACCTGTGCCCGCTTATGTCCTGCATCGGCGCGATAGTGCAGCGCACGCGCAGCTTCAACTCTTTTTTTTGTGAGGGGAAAATCATCAAATGACTTCTCCCGCCCAGGGCCGGGCAGGAGGGAGTGTCAGACTCTTACTGACTAAAAACCCCCCTGTTCCTTCTCCTGCTCTGTGCCAAGGTCGCGGTACCTTATTGCGCTTACCCCGCAACCCCGGCTGAACATCAGCCCTTTAGGGCCCCGTCTGTGGTGGTCTATTGGCAGCTTCAACTCTTGCGCACACAACTACTGCTCTCTCTCTCTCTCTGCTGTTAATACCCAATACTAGACCAGAAACAGAGCTGACAGAAAGACAGACGGACCGACCGGCGGACACTGTCGTGTCGGTGTTGAGAACTAGCTCGGAGCTAATTAAACAATAATATTCTGAGAATATTTTAACAATTTAAATGAGTAACGGTGTAACAATGCTAATTAATAACAAGAGATGTAATTAGCAACGATTTGAATGAGAAGCAAGAATACACGCGTTTGCTTTTATTGTAACGGTTACTTAATCACTTGAACCTGTTTTTGTACGAGCGACCACCGGCCTCCGCTGCAGGCCCACCGAGACCCTTGGCCGGGTTGGCTCCGTCACCCACGACCTTGGCCCTGCACTGCTACACCTGCTGCAGCCATCTAAGTGCCAGACAGTTTGTCGCGTTTGTGATGAGAGCACGCACACACACGCAGCTCACACACCGAGGGCTACAGGAGCTGCGCGAGTGGAAGCTGGGTACAAGCATGTCATATTCGGTTCCTGTAAAGCCGGCGCCTGATAGACGTGATGAGCGCCATCAATGGGCAGAGTGGTGTGATGGGATACGACCGCGGAGACTTCCGCAACACAAAAATACATTAAACCGGCGCGCGGCGCGTCTAGCCGCCGACACACTATGCTAATTCGTGTAATTCGTGTAACATGCGCCCGAGTATGCTAATCGTGTACTTAATATATTATATATTACGGTAATTAACAGGTGGCAGGCAGGCCGCCACGTAGCCCGGACACGCCACCGCGATCGCTCTATGGGAGGGCAGGTTTATTCAGTTATTTAGGCCATGTCATGCACACCTACTTTTGGCACATTTTAAACAATCAGCAATCAAATCATTCAAATTGATTGATTGATTCAAGAATCGAGCGCGTAACCATTTGCTCGGCAGTCGCTTGATGCTGACGCGAGCCAATGATTACTCAATTTACAAATTAGTTGATAATCCATGAGCATGTAATATTATTGAGCAAGTCGGTGTCAGAGAGGCGCAACTTATGTCCGCGCAGTGCGCAGTGCGCAGGCGCGGCACAAGCGTGTGCCCGCTTTCGAGTGATTACATTTACATAGGAAATTACAGCGAGCTATGCCGAGCAGGCTGTGCAGCGACTGTCCGAGGAATCCGCCGCCATTCATTCCAATCCGTTAGCAATTCAAGTAGTCCATCCGTTCAGTCCACGATATTTACTGCACCAGCACAGACACACGACGGCGATGGCGACGCGTTACTTACAATAAATCGTGGTTCGCGATTACTTACGAATCTTTCAAGTGATTAGCGCTGCAGAATTGGTTTAACACCTTTTACGGCAGTGAGCGAAAGTGGCGAGCTGGAGCGTGCGAGTTCTTCTCGAAGGAGGCAACAAAGAGAGTCTGTGTACTAACTGCCGGCAAAGAGGATATCACGACAAAAACTAGAATTACGCGCGCTCGCTGTGACAGATGGAAAAAGTCGATGTCATCGCTACCGTTTTTACTGTTGGAGATTTAAATAATAGTAGGTGTCGATACACAATAATACAAGCAGAAGCCCCACTGCCACACTAAGGCCAAGTACGGCGTGGGTCCGGGTGTAAGCGTAGCCGCGTTGGTGCTTGGCATTTTGGAAAACTGATTGGAGTGAACCTTTTGAGGCACGGCGCGCAGCACGGCCGGGCACGCACAATGCGCTCTGAGTGCCGTGACGCACGCGCACCACAAAAACCCTGCGCGGTCCTTACCTCGCCTCCACCGGCAAACGCTTTTTACGCGTCAGCCCATTCATCCCATAATTAACGCGATAAAAAACGGATCTAGACGAAAATTAGAAATGTTCCGGTGTCGCCGCGCAGTCGCACAAAAACTCATTCAGCTGTGAATTTATATTAATTTAATTAAGTTGTCGTTTTGTCTCGCCGTGCGACTGCCCCTCGATAGCAGGCGCTACGACATCGTCATTACATTGGAGTTGAGCTTGACTTACCGTTCAGGTCGAGCACCATCTGTGTGTTGAAGAAGTGGCTGACGTCACCGCGACCCGATACTGAAACAATACACAATGCGTTAATAAGGAGCTCAAAGAGACCACAGTGGCCACAGTGCCTACTGAGCCCAGGGCACCAGGTCGTCCACCAGCGCAGTGCTCCGGCACCGACATCCCCGCAATCTCTGCCTCGTCAGGCATTTTGTGTTAGTTTTACATTTGATACTTTCCGTGTCAGCTAGAAACGTGACAATGTGTCGACACCCACGCGCGTGTGTCCAGTGCGCGGCGCGCAGCTGCCGTGCTCCATTGTCTCGAACAAAGCACGCATTGTGCAGTGACCGGTGCGAATTCATCGGCTATATAATGATGATTGTGCGCCAAACGAGTGGGCGGCGCGCGGTCGAGCCGGGGGCGCACGGAACCGATCTATCTCCGCCAAAATTGTTGTTGTAATATCGTACATTCTAAATGATGCCACTACCGGGCGTCACCAATTACCAATAATTGAATTTACAAAATTGCTAGCCTTGCTTGTGTCTGATGGAACAGTAACGGTCTTGTATTCCCACAAAAAACCGCTTCAAACATTTCATTCCGTAAAACGGTTGCTCGTTGGTCTAACACAACTAACTTTTAATATTTATTGTTGCTCTGTTTAGTTACTTGGCTACGTTGATGAGGGGATGTATGATCTGCGATTAATGCCCTCAGATTATTATGGGTACATTTTGTCGGTGGTGGTGACTGGCAGCCCACGTCCGCGGGACATGACGCGACTAGCAAGCACCCGCCGCCTGCTCGTGCGGTTTGCTCAACATATTAGGAGAGGACAGCCGAGGGGCTGAGGGGCTGGCGGCACTCGTGCGGACTACGCGGGAAATGGCCCGTTCCTTCGACTGGTGTAATCACCTTCGAGTGACTCGCGGCCGACAGCAAGGAGCGTCGCGGCGCGGATCGATACAGCGCTCGTCTGTACTCTTACTACTCACTGTGTCGCTTCTCTATGAACGAAAGTTTTCCTCTCTGGAGCATTTAAAAGATAGGATCGCATTAAACCGTAAGTGTAGGGCCGGCGACGTGGCTCCATTTCTATTTAAAGTGGGGTCAGTGCGTCCGCCATCGCTCACGCCGGGCGCAGTAAATCGGCCGCGTGACTTACTGCGCCGTCCGCCCGGCTCCGCGCGCTCTGCCTGTCCCGGGGGACTCCACAACGCCGCTACTCCATAAATCGTCCCCATTTGGCTAACCCGCGAATCAAAGAAAGGTAATTCGCAATGTTTAAATCCAATTTGAAAGGAGCGAGGGCAGCCGACCCGCCGACCCCATCGCACTTTCAATATTATTGTAATGTAACAAGCTATTAATATACCGCGGCGCGAGTTGCTCGACTCACGCTGGCACTGCACTCGTCGATAGACCCGCGTCACTCAAGTTCACTTCTGTTGCAGTCTGGGTGCATTGTGTCTCTCTATGCTACGGTATGTGGACCTCCGCGGGGACGGGAGGAAATTGTTCAAGTGCTACCGAACTCATTTACGCGTGTTCAGTGTTTTGATTAATTAATTTAAGTATTTGGCCGAGCACATAGTACCTATGAAGCTTAATACTGGATGACAATTTGTATCACTTTGTTTTAATTATATTAAGATGAGTGGTTTGATAAGGCGATAATTTACAATGAAAGTAATATGTGTGTGCGTGTGTGTGTGTGTGTGTGTGTGTGGCATCGCGACCGCGGGTCTGTATGAATATTGTTGAGCGACTCCAGCCCGGAGCGCGAGAAGAAACACAAATACCCTGGTTTAGAACAAATACTGCTTTTTAACAACAAACCGCTGAGCCGAAGCTGCGACACAGCCTGTAGCAGGAGAAGGAACTCGGTGTTTTAATTAGCAAGAGTCTAACTCCATACCCTGGGCGAGAGATGTCATTTGATCGTTTTCCTTCCACGGCAAAGCCGAGGGCGGAAGCTATGAATAAATAAATAATGGGTCTTTATTTTATACCCTGACACTTGAGCCTGAATAGTTTGCAGCGAGCTTGTCCCTTACTGCAAATGCTGCAAAACGAGCCAGATATTTTCAGAAGCGACTGACGAGCGCTGAGCGCGACTGAAGGTAATCAGTAAGCAAATGACATTAATGAGAAGCGGCGGCGACCATCGACCATCGATGAAAGCGGTATTAAAATGCAGACATTTGTGTGTTTCACTGAGCCGAGCACGCCAGCACGCGGCGCCCACGCCGCTGTCGAATACTGGCGGGTACAGAGCTGCGGGTGCGGATATTAGGGTCGTTCTGAGCCAACGACGTGTCGGAGGATGCTTGTCATGCAGGAAGCAACGATGGGTTCCAAAGCTGGCGCTCTTTTTGTAATTATTTGATACTCCTGGTGTGAGAAGTGACTTTCTTGATCATCAGAGATGATTTAATATAACTCGTTATTGTCTTGTGACGAACTTATATTATAGCATTCCATAATAGAACTCTAACAGACAAATGTAAGAAAGTGTCAAACAAACTTCCACCCCCTGGTTTATGAGGTTGGCGGGTAATTACTCCTCCTTATACATTTTTATGTAAACATTGTACAACAAAGTCTAGACAGTTAATTACGAAGTGCAATTCCGGAAGTATTTCTGGGAGTTTTCAAAATGGGTGATCGAATGAATCATTGACCAGGTGAAGTATTTCATATGTCAATAAAATCTAAAGTATAAGCTATACAATAGAGACCTCAATGATTGAAGTAGTCGACCATCAGGTACGATACAAACTCAAGTGAAGAAGGTTTAAGAATATGACGAAGCGCTTCGGTTGGCAATCTGACGATATAAAGCACACGAGACGAGTTCAGCAGCACAATCATAGCTTGCTTACAACACATTTTTGCTACAATTGAAATTGAATTAATGAAGCACCTTTAGAGAAACTATATCGATGTGTATCCGTACCGAGGCCAATAATATCAGTTGCAGCAACGCACGACTCCAAACTACCACTCCGGTCGGTTCCTACATCTCAAAGCTTGGACAAAGTGTAAATGAAACATTTTGAAGGACGTTTGTATAATCAATAATGTTATTTTGCGAAGTGGAAGCTGATGGGACGGCGGATTGTCGGCGGTCGCGGCCCGCGGGCACAGTCAGTGGCTCATGAATGGTTCGTGACGTCACGGATCGATGTCGTCACAATAAGTCGCATGTATCGGCAGGATAACGCGCGGGTCGATGACCGCGGCCGGTTAATTGCGGCCCGTCCCCCGCCCCCCGGCCCGCGCCTCCTGCGACCTCCCCCGCCTCCCAGATGAAAGCTTCGTGCTAAGAACAACGTTTGGCCCACATTGGCATCGATCCGTCCACACAAGTTCACACACGTCACGGATGACACGACTCTGCACGCCTACTACAGCTGGAGCCACTACACGCGGTGCGTACGCCGTGCACTGCCAAAATACGCCTCCCCCCTCCCCCCTTCACCTTGGCAGGACGCAGTCACACGGCCTCCGCAGGAATATAATACAACATACACATTAAAGTAGTCGTTATACGGAATGATGTGATCTACAAGGCGTCCCGGGACACACCGCGCAGTCATTTAGCTCAGACTAGTGGCACAGACACAAGTTTTTGTTCAGATAGCCATTTTACATGATGTGCAAACCCAGGCAGCAGCACTCGGATGCAGCCAGAAAGCACTGAACGCCATCTAGTTTCATCCTTTTCATAAAACTTCTTAAGCAAGTTAGTTTCTAACATCGATGTACCTGCTGGTCATTAATTATATAATATTGACTAAGCAACAACCTCTGGTTGTATTACTCATACAACCGCCCCGAGTTCCAGACAGAAATTGGAGGAGTCTGGCGCAGAGGGATCGTGTGTGGCGTACGTGTAACATCATAAACGAACAATTATTGTGCGTCGGATGCGCCCGCGCCGCCGCCGCGCCGCTCTACTGACCAAACTTAACGAACAGAAAACATTTCATCAAATTAACAAACAAGTGGGCAGTTGCACGTCTCGTACCTGTCAATTGGTACCGCGGACCCCACAGAGCCGTGAGACACTCCGCCAGAGACGCTGGAGCTGCTGCAGCAGCAGTACAGCATACAGCGAGTGATCGATGTGTACAAGTACAACATCAGGAGTAAGCAGCAGGAACTGCACCATGTTACTGGACTTGAATACAAAACAGCGCCCACTGCCCACACTGCACAGGTCATTTCAGGCGGCTGACCAATTTGCTAAAATTATCGACAGTTTGCCAAAAAGTAAAATATTTAATTAATTTATAATTATTGTTTTAACTAAATGTTGTGACGTAATCTCTCATTAACTGATTACAATAGTTAGGTTAGTAATGACTCATTAAAATATGCAAAGTCTAGGCATTTCCAACTAAGAATTATAAAATAAGTTTTTACGCCTCCACTGTAGTTACCGCCATATCAAACAAAACACGTAGTGGTCTGCCGAACCAAGCTGTAATATTAGTAGGATGTAGATGTACACTAGCAGAGGCTGCCCAGGCGGGAGTAAGATATACTTTGTGGCAGCCCGGGAACACAGCACGTGCACTGCTGCCCCGCTGCATGTACATATATGTAAACGATTCATTGGTAAATACTACAACTGAATGGCGCTACTGCTCAAATATAATGCTATTGCTATTTTAATCTCGTGACGAAAGTCTAGTTTTAGCGTAGTTCTAGTAATTCAATCACTTGTCAAATGGTTGATTTTGTAATAATAATATACAAAAATCTATTCACACGTGGTTTCCTATACCTTTTTCTTTATTTTCTTTCAATTTGTAATTGATCTGTAGATATGTGAATACCTTACAAGTCTGTTGAGGTGCCTAGCACAGTGTCAGCAGGAAGAGTCCGTTCAATATGCTCAGCTCGCAGCGGGTAGAGGCGCCAGGAGAGAGGGGGGCGGATGTTTATATAATCAAATAATCATCGCATGTTACACTCAGATTTATAACAAAGATAAGTGGTTTTCTTGTTTTTAAAATAATTGCAAGATTATTTTAAAGAATACATTATTATAATTAGTTGGTCGCGTCATTGTAATTACCATTAAGCAGCGCAGTGTAGCACTGCTCCTCACAGCAGTACGCGCAGCCAGAAGAACACTGCTTATACATACATACTTCTGACTTGTCTGGGACTTTATACGGAATGGATCATTCCTTACTTTACAGTTACAGCCTGTAGCAGTCACCTCGGTGGTGGCTTTATAAACTGTATTCATTTGATGTTTATACTATAGAAACACAATTTTGTGCATGTCTCGGGGCCTTTGGTTATAATTTATTACTCGGGTGTTTCAGTCAGTTTATTAAATTTCGAGACATCTTTTGTCATCGTGGTCAACCTATACAAATTGTGTGAAGTACATATAGGTACCTTCGACCTCTCGACTCAGTTATAATCAGACTTCAAACGCGGCGAATCTGTCGCAGCTTCAACTAACTGCTGACTCTAGCCGTTAAGAATGTCTGCAGGACTTGCACGTCCCTCTTTACGTTTGCATCTAATACTATTGAGGCTTACAGGAGTTGCAGCGAATTTGGAAGGTTATGGTCCCATTAAGGAGCAGGACGTGACGTTAGTTAAATGATAACTTATTTACCTCGGTGGCTGCGAAACACCTGTACAACTTCTGTCTGTGTAGTACCCTAGCACTAACCTAACTACTTATTTCGGTTCCGATTGGTATTCCATTTAGAACAATGTATATTACATGTGTAAATCGCGCCACAGTCTGTTTTAAAAAGAATAACTTTTCTGTTTCAAATTAGGTGCTAATCTAAATTTCCATGAAACCAATAGAGGCTATCGTACCTTCAGTAAAATAAGTTGTAAAATAGAGCACAGCGAAAGCGAAACAGAACCTAATCAAAAATGATCATTATCTTTGTAAAGGCGCACAATTTGGGCGACAGGTGCGAGTGTTGCGTGCGCGCCGTGGCAAAGTTCAGCGCGCTCCCATGCGCGCGCGCAGGTCGGAGCGGTGCGCCGGTGCGGCGGCCCGGGCCGGGGCCGGGCGACGCCACCGACACGTATTATTACACTCGTAAACAACGCGTGACTCCATCATCCGCTAATTCACTTACGTAGATGACATTATTACAACCGAATTACACCTCGGAGCGAGTCCCGCGCATTTACATCGATTACATTACGGTGGTTTGATGCCGTTTCGGTTGTAATCATTTTCTTATAATTCGTTGGGAGTGTGATAAAAATACCATTAGCTTATTGTCTAGCGTTCGGGAAAAGATGAAGAAATTACAAATAATTGGTTCGCTAATGATTTACGGTACATTTGGATTGTGTGTCGACGCCCGGACTTGCGTTCTGTAGTGCGTCGATGATGGCTGCCAGTGGTTGGCGCCCTGTCCACCGCATGTTGAGCACGGGCCGGCCGGTCGCGGCGAGGTGACAAAAGGTTCACATAAAAGAGTTAATAGTATTTGCGGAGGGAGTGCAGGCGACGGTCCCGCGGGACAACCCTTGCCTGACCCCGCTAAATCACAATACGCCACCTGACCCCACATAAGTTTCGATAAGGGATTATAGTCGTATTACTTGCTCGCAGTTATTTATATGAGACGACCAGCCCTCGCCGCCGACACCGGCCACGCCAGGTCATACTGTTTGCTTACAACAACAACTTGAAACGGATGCGCACCTAATCATAATATAGTTACGATCTCGCTATCCGATTACCCGTATGATGGAAGAGTACACTTTAAACTCCCTCTACTCCTCTCGTGGGTGTCATAGAGACCAGGAGCAAACAGCGCTCCTAGTGTCTACTACTTCAATCGGTTCGTGTTACGATTAATGGTGTAATAAACTCTAATAAAGATAAATAAATAATTATTTTCATTGATTATATTAACTACTTCGCTCTTTGTATAATGTATTATGAATGTTATATGGCTGATCATATTTTCAGGTTTCCATATGAAGGGGTTTGGAAGATCGGATGTAACTTAACATAGAGACGCTAGCAAGCTGTATCTAGGTTGGTGTTGCCGCGGTAGTTGGTGCACAGTAGCTGGGCGGACACTGTGTGTATACGAGTATTTGTATCCTAGCCGAGCGCTGGGTTGTATTTATTACATTCAGGGAACTTTACTAACGAATCCTCAATCTGGATTTATAGTTAGTTGCAACTAGGTTTAACTAAGGTTTAAATAAAACTTAGGTTCAACCACGTTTTGTAAGACCAAAAACCAACACAAACGCAATTCCAACTTGCGTATCAATACGTGCATACCTTTTATTTAAATATAGATAAAACTTAACTCTGAAACATAATACACAACTTATGTACATAATATGCAAGTGCTAACTTCCTAAACTATTCCAATACTAAATCGGACTTGTTCTTTTCTCGTGATCGCTATAGTTAGCAGATAGTTTGTTATGTCCACGGGGTTTACAAGTTGGATAAAGGGCTGATGTCAAGCCGGGATTGCGGGGCAAGCGCAATGAGTCACCGCGGCCTCGGCCTACGAAGGAACGGGGAGTTTTAGTCAGTAAGAGTCTGGCACACTCTCTGGCGTTACCCTGGGCGACAAAAAAACGACTAGTTGGATACAACCGACTGCGGGAACTGAAACATTAAATCACTGGTTTCTATTAGATGCTTTCGTTATTTCGTCTTCTCAATACAGTGGAATATTTAAAAGTATTAACACTTTCATTCTTTCCCTGTAATGAATACGTACACATTTAACGCGACACCACTATATATACAAAGTACTCAAATGAATACGTAGTCTGTTTGTAAATAAAGGACTTTGAATATCTTCCCAACTTGCCAAACTCTTATAATTGTAGACGGACAGGAAGTACTAAGTTACGTTAAGTGTATGCTTAAGTTTTTTCATTAACTTAGAAGTTAGATATATTCACAATGGACAGCAGACTTTTGGTTTAATATTCAACTCGATACATTAAGTTCCCGAGATAAAGGGACTTGACAGACGGACAGATGGACAACAAAGCAATTCTACATGGGTGCCTTTTTTTCTTTTTAAGGTAAGGGCCCTTCATTCTCAATTTTTTTTTGCATACAGAATATATTTCATTTTAGATATTTTGCAGAATGTATAGGTGCGGTAATACGTGCCGCTGCTTGTTGCACCGCGCGGGCCGCGACATGATCCCATAACAGGCTAGCCATGTTGTTGTTACTCGTTGATAACATTGCTTGGGACGATTCAAATAGTATTTCTTTGTCCTTTTAATTATCAATCATTCAGATATATTGATTTTTCCTCAAAATTTCTACCTTTAACCGCAAATATTATTGAACAAACATTGGTATTCGGTACGCACGATAATGAAAATAGGCGCTGACTGCAACGTTTTTAATTGATATTAAAGTATCGCTAAGTATATATTTGCTGTCACTCGCCGCATTAGGGGACGCAGGTACCTGCAGCCACATCTTTGTAATAAATGCAAATACATCGTGCTCGACATTTTAGATCATTTTAACAAGATTATAATGTACCTCCTAGCTTGTATAACACACGGCACACTGATGCAATGAAGTAGGTAACATTATACCTATTTTATTTTCAGAATAATTAACCAAGGTGTAAGCTAATGGAATATTGAATAATTATAAAACATATCCCAAATAAATAAAATAAAAATATTACTTAATAAGCCACATCTATATGTGACCACGGTATTTAGTAGGCCTGTTAAAAATAGGCTATCTCTAGATATAATGCCTATGTCTAATGAAATATTTTGAACAGGTGTAATTACCTGCACAAAATATATGAAATTAAAATATCTGTAATTCTAAATACATGCAAATACATATTTAATAGTACAACATTGCGCTTCGTGGCAGACGGGAGAGTGCAAACTGTTAAAATCTAAATAAATAATATTTACGATGTCTTGTTATGGCTGGATCATGGTAACAATAAACATTGGCACCCGCACCAGCACCTCATTATTGAGGCTCAAGCTATGCCAGCACAGTATAATCATATTTATTATAAAAATACTAGTGGTTCCCGCGCGCTCGGTCCACTGCCGCGTTAGGCTATGATAGTGTGAGTTAGTAAGTGCATGTTGCAAGGTACGAGTACACCTGACTCTGCCTGCACTCGGCTGCGCGGCTGCTGACTCCTGCCTCGTGTGACAGTTCGTGACTTATACAATTAGCGCTTACCGGGCACGTGGGCGGGACGTTTCCTTCGCCAGTACAATTACCGTTTGCGACTTCATAAACATCACAAATCACAAGAAGTAAGATCGCAGAGAGGAACTATATTTACGCTTGACCATCATCCAGTATTAAGCTGGCACCTGCGTACGCGCAATTTCAAATGCGCCTACCGTGCGTTAGGCGCAAAGTGATCGAGCTGCCATTAGCGGGTCGCGGGCCGCGGGTGGACCGGAGCGCGTGGGGACAGTCGGCAGATGGATGGGAGCACTGTTTGTTGTGGTCGCGGGCGCGGGGCACTACACTGGCACTGGGGGTCGGCTGGTCTACTGACCGTGTCGCTGCTGGTCGCTGGGCAGCGCGCGCGGGTGCGGCGGCGGCCAAGCAGGCAGCTCGCGCAGGCGCATGGAGCAGTCGAGCGGCTGGTCGCGCAGGGCCAGCGCGGGCATGGCGCGGCCGCGGCCGCCGGTCCTGGGTCGCGCCGTCTCTTCGTTGCGAGCGTCCGCCCACCGAGCGCGTCCGTGAGACACTGCCGTGCGAGCGCCGCTTTTTTCCGACGGTTTTTTTCGCGGGGGCGGGGCGAGGCGGCCGGCCAATGGCGGCTCGGCCCCCCCGCCGCGGGCCGCCGCCCCCGCGTCTCTACTCTTATTTACGTGCCGTATATTAAAAGGGTTTTCCGCGTGCCGTTATGGATTTTCCTCGGCGTCGTATGTAAAGCGGGCGCTCGGCGTCGCGCGACGTCCGACCTCTCTCCGGAATGTGGCTCGGCTCTCGCTCCTCGAGCGCAGCAAAAACTTGCTTCAGTCGTCCATTCATTTCGTCGACAGCTCCAGTTTTTGTCATTTTATGTTTGGGCTTCACGACATTTAGTGATTTAAATTAGAGGCATGGTTCAGTAGGCAGCCAGCGCGCCAGTCGACGCAGAGTCTGAGCGGGCCAGTATTAGTAGCTCGAGTGTCGGTAGGAGAAAAGCGACTGTGACGTCATCGGCGGCGGGGTCACTGACCGCGGGCCAGACAAGGCCTGAACTTGAACCTGTGCCGCCGGCTAATTAACATGTCACACCCGCCATGTGCCGCTGTACACCACCTCGAGCCCCGGCTACTTGCGCTCGCTCGCCGTGCTCTAACAACTGTAAACTTACATTATTCTCAACAAAAAAAAAAACAACATGTCAACAAAGATCCAAAGATGTACAAAGGTGTGCACCTGACTCTGAGATGAGCAGGTGCACCCTTGTTATGGTACAGCTTCATGTGTCAGGAGATACTGTCAACAATCGGAGAGTAGAGCGGCACGATCACTCTTCTCATGCAGAGGTCCAGTAGAAGGCCCTCACTGGGCTGTTGTGACGAGCCGCAGTCAGTACTTCAGTACCAGTGCACGGGTGTATGCGTGTACAAACTTCAATATTATTTGAAGTCAATGCCTCGCCGCATTGTTTTTGGGAGATAGATGTACAAAGTAAATTGCTGTCTCTATGCAGACTGGATGTTAGTACTGACACATATCAATTAGTTCGAAGCAGTTGTAAGTAGTTATTGTGGGCGCTCCTACAGTTTCACAATCAGGTCCCGGTAGCAGTGGCTATTTTTGTTTTTTTTTTTTTATGTAATTGGTCGGCAAACGAGCAGACGGATTACCTGATGGTAAGCAATCAGCGCCGCCCATGGAAACCCGCAACGGAGGAGTTACGAGTGCGTTGCTAACCTTTTAGGGATTAGGGATTTGGAGATTTAGGGATTCAGGAGGGATTAGGGGCGGGGAAGGATTGGGCCTCCGGTAACCTCACTCACACGGCGAAACACAACGCTGAGGTTGTTTCACGCCGGTCTTCTGTGAGGCCGTGGTATCACTCCGGTCGAGCCGACCCATTCGTGCCGAAGCATGGCTCTCCCACACTTAAAATTATATATTTGTGGTTACAGGGTATATTTCATTTTTAAGAAAGCAAGCTTACAGACTTATTAGTATAATAAATAATGAATAGCATGTAGGTAGCTAGGTGGTGACAGTTGCTCATAACAGGCTTCCACATATTAGTACCTATCGTAACATGTGCAATGTGAAGGAACAACTATAACATCACATCAATACTTAGTTGTTATTATTCCTCACTATTTGTGCCAAACTATATATTATTTATAGCATTTCTAATTTTTCGAGTGTCTGTGCAAAAAATATCTTCCAAGTCCGATGGCAGGTCAATGAAAGACCTGACACTGCGACTGGCAAAAAGTGTTCCGTCTACAGTTTATGGCAGCTGGAAGTGCATGTAGCATAGGACGCGTTCTAACATTACTTCGGGTTGTGCTAAGACATATCTTACGCAGTAGTTCAGAATTAGTTGCAATGTTCACAAAGAAACAAAAATCGCTTACATCTCAGTTCTAGCGGCAAGAATTGATATCGCCTGCATCAATGTTCATAATCAGTCAATGTTTGCTTCGTTTTGTAATCCAAGTATCGCAAGGATTGTATTTGAACCGCCTCTATGCGAGACTTGTACACCTCGTATTAGGGGTTCTACATCTAAGAAGCATGTTCAAGAAGAGCGGTAGTTAGAGGATTTTTAGTGGTTTTAGCGATTGCAAGTTGTAACAGGTCCTAATGATAAAACCCAAACCCCTCGATGCTTTATCCACAATGGAATCAATATGAGTGCGAAAAATAAGAGCAGTATCGTGTATGACACCAAGATCTCACTCACCATCTCCAATCTGTGCCCATCCAGAGTGTATCCTGGTCCCAATCTAAGATTTCAATCGAGAGGATGATACATGATAACACTTATATAAATTACATTTATTTCTTTAGCAGTAGGTATGTGTGTACTCCAGAAGGAACAGACTTCCATCCTGGGCCTCGAGTCTGCTATTACAATAGTGTCAGGATAGTAGATCATTCGTTTCAAAATTGTTGATTTTGACAAGTTTGGTTATCTACTAACACGATAGCGCCATTATGACTTTCCAATGATCAACCAATTGAAATAATTCTTTAGAATGGTAATCTCGTACATTATGACAAATAAATATTTGACGTAATGCGGTAAATTAATAAAAAATGTCAGTTCCTTTATTCAATGATTGACGTTTAGTACATCAATGTGCAGTTATTGTTTATAATTCGTTACAAGACAACTCGTACTATAATTCTATTACAACATCGCCGAACGCCAATGATCAGCCATTTTCAAATAACAGATTACGAACTTTTAGCAAAATGACAATGGAATCGTGTAGGAATGACAACACTTTGAAAATAGACTCGGGCCCCTGAAGAGTACCTCCGTAAGACCACCGCCTGTCTCCGATTTTGTATATACATATAGATATGACGAAAACCAACGACATAGATCACCGTGTATACTGGGAAGCAACAACTTCTGTAGCAGTGCACGGTGATCTATACGATCAAAACAGTATAGTCAGTAGGTACCTATAGTCAGTCGGATAGTACCAAGCTGGAGGCAGTTGACCGTCGACCAAGGGAACCCTGCTGTTCTTCAGCAAATTGTTGTTTCATAGCCGAATAAAGCTGCTTGTAGACGACGGGTTCCAAGAATATAGACCTGCTATATCTTGTGAGGCAGTAGACACTAATACCGCGGGACAAGCGCTATCAGATACTGCGGGTTTGGCTTGTAGCAGAAGAAGTATAAGTCATTTGGTGATACATCTTCAAAAATCACCTACGACACCTATACGTAGGTATATCGTGCGAGTTAGACGGACATCGGACGTCCAATATTACTGCTAAGTATATACTTGTGTGAATCAAATAACATTTCGACGTCATGAAGTGGACTGTAATTGTAGCCATCATACCACAAACGGTGTATTTTAACAGTACTTTGTTCACAAAGTTCTGCCAGGCAGCCACTTAACCGGGCAGACGACCACACAACACTCGCCTAGTAGCGCCTCCATCACAGAATGCATACGTGCGCCGTGTAGTGGGTGTGGGAGTCGCTTCAGCCGGGACGGGTGTCCTGGCGAGCACAACCTCAAGCGTTGGTTAACGGTTCCAGTTAAACGGCTGTTATCTAGTAAATATAAAATAGCGCCGGAGTGCGCTAGTTTGGCGCCGGTCCAAGCAGCCGGCTAGTCGGCCGGTAAATGCTGGCAGCACTCGTACCTCCTCAGCCGCGCCATCACTCACATGGAAGTTGCTCATCGGGACTAATTAATGGTGTGTGCAGTAGTTGCAGTAGCTGCATGATTACTAATTAGTACAAATATCGTATTTACAAGAATGACATCGACCCGTGCGCGGGTACACGATTGTAAAACGAGCAGAATTAACGTATGTCTTCGACTGTAAACGAGTTGTATGTTAGAACATAAAGTTTTATACACGATGGATTCATTATTTGGTTGCTACTATGTAGATATGACTCAAATGTAAGGTCCAGTGTAAAGTGGTCTAGCTAAATATAGTTCCTAAGCCTATAGAATAGGGAAATATGGAACAACCGTCAATTATAGGTTTTGTTGTGTGTTAATGTTTGACAGTGATACGAAACGAACGGTTTTACCAAATGATGGAAGACACGCCGGGATGTGTAGCAGTGCCCCGTCACTACGCACGTCAAACTATAACAATACAAGTACTTCGTTACTGGAGGCGCGGCCAGGTAGCTATATATACCACAGTTACCAGCTATTACTTACAAATAAAACTTAGTACTGTCATCGTGTCCTTAAAATTTGAAAGTTTTGAAACGCGTTCTTGTAGGTATTAATGTGAAATATAAACTCCAGACTATGTAGCGCTGATGCTGGGAACATTACGGGTAATATGGTGTAGACTTACAATCAGGATACCGAGGATGAATTGATTTATCAGCTAAGTGTTATAATTTTATGAAACGTATTTGATGAAAAACAGAACATCTTGTAATCAACTAACATTTTTTTTAAACTAATAAACTTTAAAAAAATCTATTGAATTCCATTAATTGGTGTGATGCCCAATGGAAGAAACCCTGGGGGATAGTAGAGTAACAGTAATAGTATGAGAGTAAGGCTAGCAGCTGACCTGTGATGACGGAGGGCCTGCGCAGCGCGGGCGGCGGGCTGGCGGCGGACTGCAGCAGGCGCTGCAGGCGGGACGCCGGGTACACCAGCCACGACGTCGGCTCCCGCCGTCTCTGCAACACGCGCCAGCCAACGTCACTGCACTACTCATTGCAACCACTTATTACAATGTACATATGTTAGCTACAAGCACAACTGATTACCTACACATCACCCTCCACTAGCAGTGTAAGTGCATGCGTGTGCTACTGCACGAGTTCATTCAAGACGGGCCCCGGATTAAGATGCGGTGACAAAAACCGTGTATGTGTGTGTGTGTGTCACGTGGCGCGCGCGCAACCCTTCCGCGGCACAGGTGGCACCGGCGCTGGCGCATTAGAACGTCACAAAAACCCTTAGAAAAACGCAAGGTCGCGCGTGCCGGTATAAAAAGCGATACAACACTTTGTCCTTGCTTCTATTGCACGTTTTTATGCGGTAATTATGTGGTTATCTAACGCCGACCCTTCTGCCGGAACTAATTAGCTGTTAGATTCCCACGAGGGGGCGCTAAGCTGCTCCCGTCTAATTCTACGAGTCTAGCTGCAACCCTCGCCTAAAGAGGATTTACTGAAGAGTCGCGAGTCGAGGCTCCATACATAATTGAGCAGGCTCACAGCGGCACATAGCGCGAGCCACGAGTACATGGCAGCCGGCCGGGTAGGCGTCGCGACGGAGGCGGTGCTCTGTCTCGCTCGGTAATGTATTCACGTTTCCCGAGCCGCTCATTTTTTATCGCAGTCGCGCGGCGCATTAGAATTTCCAGGCGAGAAAATCTCACGCACACCGCGATCCCGGCCGGGGCCCATTCTACTCGCGACCCTGTCGCCTTGGATCACGGTGCATAATTCTTTGCTTGATGCCCTTTGTGTGCGGAGGGTGAGAGGAGGTTCGCGGAGAGGAGGCGGGAGGTTCGCTACATTGTAAATTCGCGCGGGGAAATGCGGGCGGCTTGTGACGCGGGGGCAGGAGGGCAGCGGGCGCCGGGCGGCGGGGCGGGGGGAGGCGAGGCGCGTGTGTGGCTCGATAAGGAGCTCCTCCACGTCTTCCGCTCGAGCACCGCTCAGCAGCCAGCACCAGCACCCCAGCAGTGTACCTAGCACCAGTCATACAGAGCAACCTGTATCGACCGCCTCCATATTCCAGTGCCTCAACTTACAAACTCCTTCACACTAGATGAACCCCACTACTTGTAGATCATATTTCACAAAAGATCAAGGCAAACGTATTAACGTCTTTGATAAGAAAATAAAGAAAATTCAAGTAGGTACCTACTTCGTTAACGAATACATCAACACGTCCTGGCGTGTTATATGAATGCTAGTAATGGTAATCCTGCCTCCATGTCTACGGAGTGCACGCACACGCTCGGACGGTAAGTTATTGTTAAATATTGCGGATGGCGCCGTGAGTGCGGCACTCAGTGAGGGCGGCGGCCGGCGCCTGGCCCTCGCGATACGCAATCTCCAGTGGACACTCTCGCGCTCCACCGGACACGCACCGGCCACTGATCTCTACCATACACACTTGCCCTCACATACGACACCAAATATCATACTGCCAAATAGTGAACATACGGTTCTTCCTTATTTCCATTTGTAATAACTTAACCCTCTTCAAAAATAAGAACAAAACAGTACAACACTTACATTATGTTACAGAATGTGGAAATGCTTAATAAATAATAATAAGTAGGTACCAGTCATTTCAGTCAACGGCGGCGGTGATCAAGTAGATCAAGTAAAGGCGGTGGTCATTACAAAGTTGTATGATATTAAACAAAGCAGGAGTGATGCGCCCAGCTCCATGGAATCCCCCCCGTCCCGCGCCCACACCGCCCCCCCGGCCGGCCGCCTCCCGCCACCCTCCGTCCGCGAACCTCCACACTCCTTATCTTTTGAAATGTTATTTAACGGGACATTTTGTTTGTTGGGCGCGGGACTTTGGACATCAATATAAATATATTTCAGGAAGGATTATCTAGCGGCCGCGGTCCGGGCAGCCATACTCCGACTTGTGTGCAAGCTGCCTCGCTGTCAGTATCCGTCATGGAAGTCGCACGCTGCCTCTACTAAGCAAGTGCCAGCCGAGCAGCACGTGCCAGAGATAACTATCGGAGTTGGAAGTACGCTGCAGCAGCTCGCACTCCACATCTACTGCTCGCAAATGACTGCAAACTGGTTGAATTGTACAAAACTATCTCAATACATCATTTACTTTCCTACAGTGCTTACAATAGTACCGAGTCATTACATAATATTACTACACACACTAATCACGGGGTACACAGTGAGGGTGATAATAAAAGTATCAGTTTTATGGCGAGCGAGTAGAGTCGTTCCGCGAGCAATATCTCAGTACTCAGTCGGTCGCCGCCTGTCTTCGCCAACCTGCTAAATTATACAAATGTCTCTTAAGATCCCACAAGTAAACTGTGAATAACCGGCCGCTGCTCGTCGGAGGCGGCGCGGCAGACAACTGTGTGTAATTAATAACAAATGCGGCATGTGCATGCGCAGCCGAGGTCAAGGACAGCCCAAGTGGAGCGATTAACTGCTTGCAAAGGTCAGTCGTCGTGTAACGGGACGTGCGCCCGCGCCGCCGCCTCCCCCCTCCCACCAGTGCGGCTCATTCACACGATGTTAGTGTTCTGTGGGAGCCAGTTTACTTGGACTTAATATGTTTCGACAACTACTCAATGACGTAATGTCAACTGGTATTACTTTCTAATGTTTACATATTATTCAATAAACGGGGGCATAATATACTACATTCATACGTATCAGTAGCAAAGCGTGGTGTATACAGTTCGCGGCACCTACGACGGTGGTTGGTTCGATGCGGCGACCCGGCCGTCCAGAGCATCGTGTGCGAGTCGTGGGAACACAGGTACTAAACCGAGAGCCGAATTATGAGCATTACTGCGCCAGGCCTTTGTTAAGCGGGTGTTAAGGTGACTGGCAAGACAGACTACCCAGAAGGTGCACGGCCACGAGGCCTACCTACAGCATGTGTCCGGCATGTGTCGGCGGGTCCGGCCGCGCGACTGCTACGAGTGTAACTTCTGCTATCCGCTGTCATGTTAGCGGTGTTACCAATCAGTCGACTGCGCATGCGCTAATCGCTTTAATTGCCCGCCCGCAGCCGTGTCGTTCGCGCTTCATGCATTACATTACTATACCACTTTATGATGCGCCCGCGCAACTCTATAAACCGCGCTTGTTAACTCGCCACGTTAGTACCTGCTCGTGGAGAAAGGTTTTATTTTGCATTTTCGATTATAGCAGTCAGAGTTTGTACAACGACAATACTCTCTCGGTAATCCGGGAGCGGGAACGTCTCCCAGAAGGATTCGAATGTCATGACCAGCTACTGGCGGCAACTGGCCTCGGCCTCACTATGTATGTGCGGCGCGTGTCGCTCACAATGGTCGTCGCGACGCTTCGGGGAAGGAAGCGCTCTGGTCCGGCCACCTGCGCGCGCGCTCCACGCGCCGCCCATACCAAACTGTTTGCTCTGGTGCGATGCTAATCGATAAATCACAATATTTCTAATAACTCGTCCCTGATTAATATGCCGGCCGCCGTGTCGGCTCGCCGCGTGTCACGCTGCACTCATTACACTCCCGGTTAGCGGCCGCCTGCCGATGCGTTCCCATGGAGCGGCCGCTTGAAGTTCGCCGCATTCATTATGCCGGCTATCGCTTACGTTATTTGAATATCGAGCAGCATGCTGCGTAGGCTGCAGCAGCTACTGAACCCGAGCGTTACATTCTTCCAATAGCCGGCTTATGATGCACACATAAGTTCCGGCCATTTGCGGAATTAGCAATTCGTTGTAGTCGACCAGTGGTCGCAACACGCGGGACGTGGCCGGGAGTGGAGCGGCCCTCCATTGGCCACTGACTAGATTTACATAGAGTGCGGCATACAATTGGCAGTACACGATTGGCAGCGGCCACATCCGGCGCACGCGCATTGCGCTGCTGCTGCTGCATACTGATGCGGTCTCTAGTGTCAGGGCAATCAAGTGTGGTGGAGCCATGCTTCGTCACCAGCGGGCCAGCTTGATCAGAGTCAGGCCACACAAAACCTCATAGAAAACAATTGCAGGTATTGCAGATTGCTTGCCATCGGTCGTTCGTTTGAATAAGAAAATCAAGTATATCTACATCGCACGTTAGAGTATGCGTAAGAGGCTTCGTTAGATCATCTAGAATAATGTAGCATGGGATCGCTTTAGGTCCAGCATCTCATCTCATGTAAATACGGTTTACGAAACTAATTAGGGAGGCATAGCTATTTCGAATCAATGTGTTGTTGTTCCTCGTGTATCGCAGCCTCTTTGTATGAGGGTCATACAGCCGATGTCACACAATCTTGCGGTGCTGGCTGCTTCAATGAAGACCTTTCGCTGCACTCATCAGCTGGTGATTACCACGACGTAGTACAAGGCACGTATTGCCAGGATAGCGTGTATAATGATGGTCCGTCAAAAAAACGGAATATTTATTGTAGTTGCGCTTGCTTTACGATGTGACTTTGATATCGCAGCTCCAAACTCGGCCCAGAGAACAGGTGTGTCGGCCCCCGGATAATTGTCGTAATTAATAAATTAGTATAGGACAATGAGTGACCACAGTGGCGAGCGCAATAAACACTTTGGTCTACTTCCTGGCAGATAATCGTAATGTTATCATAACAAGCATTATAATTTGGTGAGGGAATGAATCACAGCTCCGCATGCGCCTCACGAGCTGCGCAGGTGTGCGGCGCGCGCGCAGCATGGCAAGCAGCGCGGGGACACGCGTGCCGCGCGAATTTATACTTTATGTATCTGGTTATTAGAACACTTGTGGAGTGCTGGAGGTCGGTCCTGGTGTCTGGTTGTATCAGTGTAGTCACCGTGAGCTTTGGTTTGTTCTTGATAAGTCTCCGCAGATTAATCGCAGACGACAGGTGAATAAGAAAATCATGTCTATTGTGTTATTTGAAATAAATCTAATTTATAGCAGACTCATTACAATATTGTGTGGTTCAACACCTGTTACGATTACAAACATCGAATAACTTTTCTTGTATCACTTGTTTAACTAAATATAATGCAGTGTGTGACGGAACCAGTATAGATAATGTGAGTTATGGAACCACTTTAGAAATAATGTGTAGTACGTATCATCATGGCGCTCTACTAGAAGAGACGGCGATGATGTAATCTAATATTGCGTCCGACGCCACTCGTGGAGTCTGCACGATGGCCAGTAAAGGTGTCGATAGGTCGCGATCTGGTGCCCAGCATCCCTGGCGGGCTGCCAGGCGGCGCTGGCCGCGGCTTCCATCGCGATACTGACTGCGAGTGCGAGCTGACACATCGCCACTGTTGTCACTTCAACGAATGAGTGCCGCCTCGTTGCATACAATGAGGTAGACGGGTAAACACAATTTATATAATACACAGGATGGATAACCTTGAAGTGCCTTTAAGTACCTATATTGATGACCAATAAAAAAATATACAAGAAAAAGGTTTTATAAAAAACTTGCAAATAATTTATTTTAGACAAATTGTGTAGGTATAATTTATTTTTGCAGCAATGTTTAATCATCATTGTTATGCAATAATGCAATGCACGTGAATGTTAAAGGATCATGTTCTATTCCCTCTACCACCAGTTCTTCTACTTCAAGACATCATAACTTAGGTACTATTTATCTTATAATTTTCGTTCTTATTTCTGAATGGCAATAAGATGTACTAAAAAGCATTTCAAGGTTATCCATTCTTAACCGGACACCCTGTATATGAACATTATGGAGGCGGTGCGCAGGCGCAGTACAGTGCGGGTGTATGGTAATATTTCGCGCGCTCGTGCTCCGGCGAGCGTTTTAATTATATCATATCGAGCGCGCAGGATCTGCGCGTGCGCAACGGCCGGCCACGCAGTAGCACAAGTGACATGCCGACCACACTGAGCCGATACTGGAGCTATACATGGTGATAGTACTCGTGTAGGTGTTGGTCAATATACTTAAAGAGTGTATTCAGTTTCAGTGTAGGTGTGTGAGCCACTAGATACAGGCGCTCACTCCCCACTGTTCACGGCGGTCTCAGTGCCAGTTTATCGATCCAGGTAATGTTCCCATATTTAGTTTGCGCCTCCCAAGTGTCCAAGAGGCACATGATTAGTGCACATCCGACTATGTGGTGGAGTTGTCCTGCTGCACACAGCGCACTGTGTAGGCGACCGCTCGCAGATAAATCACGGGCCACGCTCATAATTTAATGCACCTCCCGAAACTGAGTCATGCCGTAGATAACGTTATCAGGGGACGTGAGATGTGAACCACATTCTATAGCCGTTACAACTACTTCATTTGTCGATCCAAAACAACTAAACATGCTTTCCGGCTCTCATATGTATCTCAATGTTAGCAACGTTTTATTAAGAAAACAAAAGTGTAGTCGATGATCGATATAAATAAGTAGATCCCTTTGCAGATGTACTTCTTTAATCGCTAATTATAATATAAGTTTACAATAATTGAGTGTGTTTTCGTCGCGACTATTAGAATGGCAGTGGCCGGAAGGCGCGCAGCTCGAACCTCTTCGCTCGCGCTACGGATGCGTTCCATACACGACGAAGAATGATGCGTTCCGGCGTAGACATCCTCCGGCCCTTGAAAGTTTAACTTTCAACTTTCTGTGGTAGCCGAACGACATTGTGGATTCGCTCGGCGAATAGTGCCTCTGGCGGTGTAAATGTCAACCACTCGACACACGTTGTCTGGTCCCTGGTGCAGACGTGAAATGCGCCAAGGCGCCAGCGTTGCGGTGGTGAAAAATCTTCTTTAATTACTACCATATCCCCGACCTTAAGGATTGGCTTGAGGAGTCGTCCATTTAGTTCTCAATTGCAATTCCGCCAAGAATTCCTTTCGCCATCGCTCCCAGAATTCATCACGAATTTTGTTATTGCGTGGTATTTCGGTCTGCCGTCGTCTGCTGGATGCGAGGGCAATGACACCAGAGGCCGTCCAATGAGGAAGTGCCCTGGGGTGAGGGGAGTTAGGTCAAAAGGATCGGACGAGATAGGAGAAAGAGGACGGGAGTTTAAGATAGCTTTCGATTTGTGAAAATAGCGTAGTCAATTCTTCAAAAGTAAATGATTGATTACCAACAATCCTAACTAAATGATATTTTTGCTGCCTTAACACCCGCCTCCCATATACCTCCGAAATGAGGAGAATAAGCTGGACTAAAAACGAAATCTATACCTTCAGAGGTAGCAAAATCTGTGACAGACTCACGACTGGAGCGCAAAAATTTTACCAAGTTCATTATTTTGCTCCTATAAAATTGGTACCGTTATCGCAATATAAAACTTTAGGTTTACCTCGACGCGCGATGAAACGACGCAAACACAATATAAAAGCATCTGTAGTGAGATCGCTCACTACCTCCAAGTGGACAGCTCTAGTGTTCAAGCACACAAATAAGCAAAGGTAACATTTTGTTTTACGATTACCTCTCCCCCTTTTACTTGATATAAGAAAAGGGCCTGCAAAGTCCAGTGCCACTTGAAAAGAAGGGGAAGGTTGCTTCTGTCCTATACTGCGGGTAAAATTTCCCATAATAGGTTGAATAGTCTTACCGCGATAGCGAGCACATATTACACAAGATTTTGCGGACCTTGCGCGCCAACTGCCTACCTCCGATAGGCCAATAAGAGTCACGTATCGAGGACAGCAGCAGCTGAGGACCTGCGTGAAATAGCCGGCGATGTTCATGTTGCAATAACAAGGATGTAAAGGTATGCCTGCCATCTAAAATAACAGGATGTTTCTTATTATATTCATAGGAGGAGTTCTCCAATCGACCGCCTACTCTCAACAAGCCTTCTGTATCAATAAATGGATTTAACTGTAATAACTTCGATTTTTTATTTAAATGTTGACCAGAAGATAGTGCCTTTATTTCAGTTGTAAAACATTCACCTTGACTAAATTTAATAAGTAGATTTAAAGCCTTGTTTATTTCTACTGTTTGCAACGTACCAGTGCATTTGTTATGTTTATTATGTATATTGCTTATAAATCTTAAAACGTACGCAAAAATTCTCTTCAGTCTGTTAAAATTTGAAAAATCTTTAAAGTTTATGAAATGATTTTCAGGGGCTTCAGCAGCGTTCATATACGCCTTAAGCTCTGGAAGCTCTACTATAGAGTGTGGAGTTTGTGGCCAGGAAGAAGAGCCTTCCTTCAAGAAGGAAGGTCCTTCCCACCACAAGGGCTCCACGAGCAAGCGTTGAGGGACAACCCCCCTAGAGGCCAGATCTGCAGGATTGAAATCAGTGGGAACATGTCGCCATGAACACCCTTTAGTTAATTCTAATACCTCAGCTACACGATTGGCAACAAAGGTTTTCAAAAGTTTAGGCTGAGCCTTAAGCCAACCCAGGACGACAGTTGAATCAGTCCACATAATAGTATTGGTGATAGAAATACGAATTGATTGAAGTACCTTTGCTACCAGTCGAGCACCAAGCAAAGCACTACACAATTCCAAGCGAGGGGTGGTCATGGCCTTCAGGGGCGCAACCCTCGACTTTGCGCACAATAACCTGATGACAATATTATTGCTACTATCCGTAGAACGTAGATAGACGCACGCTCCGTATGCTTCGTGCGATGCGTCTACAAAACAGTGTAATTCAACATTAGTAAAGAAATCATCACATAATGCATATCTTGGTATTTTAATATCTGACAATGTTTTAAGATTTTCTGCTATATCTAACCATTTTTTAGCTATGTGAGATGGCACTGGATCATCCCAGGCTAATTTCTCATTCCATAATAGTTGTAAAATTATTTTTGCTTTTATAACACAAGCACATAAAAGACCTAATGGATCAAATATCTTACAGGTAAGTGAAATTATAGAACGTTTTGTTATCTTATTATTATCACTACTTAAATCTGTACTAAAATGTAAAGTATCTGTATCTGGTGACCAATTCAAACCCAGAACAGACGATTCTTTATTTAATTCTAAAACTGAAGTTGTAGTGTCATTCTGAAATGCTTCAGGACAATTAGTTCTAATTTTATGTAGCGGAAAACCAGCTGAATTTAATACATTTTCTACACTACTATAAATATGCTTTATAGAATCCTTAGATTCGGCGCCTGTAGTCAGGTCGTCGATGTATACATCATGCTCTAAGATGTTAGATATGGTAGTGTCAGGACACTCACGAGCCAATTGAAGAATACATCTCGTGCTTAAGTAGGGCGCTGAGGCCGTGCCATAAGTAACGGTATTTAATTGGAGTACCTTAATTGGCCGTGGATGTCCTGACACAGAACCTGATCCTGCTTCATCATCCCTCCACAATATGAGCTGCAGATGGCGCTGACTGGGATCAATCTCAATTTGTCTGTACATCTTTTGAATGTCTCCAGTAATTACATATCTAAAGCATCGAAAACGAATTAGTATTGAAGTTAAATCATCTTGTAACACAGGTCCAATAAGCTGAATATCATTTAAAGATTTACCAGAAGTGGTTTTGGCTGAGGCATCAAAAACCACTCTGAGTTTTGTAGTTTCACTTTTTTCCTTTAAAACAGCATGATGTGGCAAATAATAACCAAAACTAGGTCTCTGTATTTCAGTTAAATGACCCAAGTCACGATACTCTTTAATAAAATTAAAATATTGTTCTTTTAGATTAGGATTTTTATTTAATTTATTCTCTAAAGATAAAAAACGCTTTTTGGCTAAATAAAAAGAATCTCCAAGAGCTTCTTCAGGAATTTCCTTCAGAGGCATCTTTACTGAAAATCTACCATTACTAAGGCGTTTGACATTTTCTTGAAAATGGGACTCGCACAACCTTTCTTCAGGTGTGCCAATATTAATCTTTAAATTTAATTCTTCAATTTCCCAAAATTTCTGTAAATTATCATTAATATTATGAGTATAATTACAAATAACATGGCCAGGTTTATAAATACCCACTGGCCCACTTACAAGCCAACCTAACTGTGATTCCTGAAGAACTGGTCTACCTACACCTAGAGTTATACGCTTGAACCCTACTAAATCCCAAAATATGTCAGCGCCCAACAGTAAATCAACTTCTGCGGGACAATAAAAATATGGGTCTGCAAGCTCAATATTGGGAGGTAAGTCTAGTTCTAGAATATTAACAGGAGAATTAGGCAAAGTACCTGTTACCTTAGGGACTACTAGACATGTTATCATAGTACTAAATTCACGTGTCGTGTCGTTTATTTGCCGATGTATAGGTAAGTGCGGTGAAATGTGCATACCTGAGCATAGACAGGAATGATAATCATCCGAGGGAAGAAGCGACGTGCGAATTGCCACAGCATCGCAGCGCATGTAGATGTGTGTCAGCGCTGCGACACAGTCGCGCCACCATCGCCGGCACGCTCGCTGCAGGCCGTGTTCCCACGGAGCGACGCTGCACGCGCGGAGATTACAAGAGAAAGTGTGGTCACACCCCACAGCGAGTCAGTGGATCACAAAATGTGTCGAGATACGCCTAAAGTTTAAGGTACCTGCTCTTTGGGCACAACGTCTGGCGGGGTCACGGGTTCGATTTCAATTGTTGTCCCTTTCGCACCTGAATGTGATATGTATGTTTGTGAATGCACACCTGACCCAGGCAAAGAATGGCCCACGTTATAAACATGAATAAGTGTCATCGTCCGTACTATCCAGTACGTCTTAAAGCAGCAGCAGGCAGTTCAAGCGTTGCAGTAGTTGGGTATTCTGATGCAACTGTCATTAACATGAAGGTGGGACGTACATCACATCGTTCGTAAAACACAATAATGACACAAAACTATTTATTCAACAAGAGGTAAGCAGGACCACCATCAAACAAACATTCAGTGTCAGGTATTTGCTCAGGCTCGGACGGACGGAGCCCACTAATAAGGAGTCCGCGGCCGCAATCAACATTAGTATGCCTAATGTCGTGAGGTGATAATGACGGCGGCCGCGGCCCATGTTCGGCAGCCCCGGCGACTGAGAAAAACGCGAGTGACGCACACGTACGCGTAATTAAATGTGTCGGATTCAAAGATGGCGGTGTCAGTACTGGTCCAGCACCAAACAGGAGTGTTTGCATTAACTGTGCTTAATTTCCGTGAACATTTCGCTTTTTGCGTGAAGCGAGCAAGCAGCGCAGCGCGCGGCTTAGTACGCGGCGGGCGGCGTCACGTGCCAAGTGTTTCGGTGAGGTTGCAGCTTTTTGCCAAGTCGTTAACATTGTGAGTGTCGCGCGGCTCGTGCAAACAACGAATATTTCACAAATTCCGATGGTGTTCAAGCGTTTTTGACCAAGTATTGTGTTTCGAATGGTATATTGGCCGAACGACCACAACTATAATTATTGCATAGCATTGGGCCGCGGCCATATTGAAGCGTCCATGCCTGCAATAGGTAAAACAAAGCGTTCATTGATGTGCTTGGTATAACTCCGCAAGCGCGGGTGCCGCGACATGGCCGTCCACCGTACTGTGGTACACAGCTGCAGCAGCGCTGGCTCAGCTGGCGCGGCCGCGTCTCATGCGGAATGATAAGAGTAACGTCCTCACTATAATGTGATGTTGTACAGAGGGCAGATTACTCCGCGCTCCTTCGCGTTATTGCTCGCATTAAACTTATATGGGTGCGTTACCTTCAGATATGAGCCGTTGCACTTTTATTATGATTTTAAGTGCATTATTTTGACTTCCAGTAGAAACATTCAGTATCTGTTCAGTCACAATGGTTGTTTGAGTAAAATACAATTATACAAACCCACGTACCTCGAAGGTACGAGCCGCACTTGCTGAATTTGAATCGTTTGTAGACTATATTGGTCCATTCTGCAGTAGTATTTCGAGAACACTATATAGGTACAGTTCAATGGAACCCCGTGCAAGAGTGGTTGTAGCGTCGGCCGAGGTTAGAGCAGTGACGGTGCGCGAGTAGACTCGTAACTCGTCTGTATCAGTAGATAACTAGACACAGATGTCCACAAATGCCATGAAAAGGAAACAAAATAAATTGTAAACCGAAGCATTATTTACACGTTTCTAATAAAAACTAACATCGCTTGACGTAAAACTAATTGGATGATAAAAAGCAGTCAATTGTCAATAGATTAGTCGGTCGTTTAATGATGCGGCCAGATGTGTGGTGCGGGGCGCGGGGGGCGCGGGGGCGCGGGGGCGCGAGGTGTGTCGAGGTGCGGGCCGAGTGCGCGCGTTGTGTCATTTCACGGACATCTGTCGCGCAATTAAATGCAAACCATTCCCAAACGAGAGACCGGAGCCGCTCGGGCGCACCCTCGCCAACTATCAGCTTATAACCCTCTCTATGATCCCAGCGCCTATCCATGGGATAAAATACATGTAAATTGGTTCAGCGAGCTACGTAGCACCCTGAGTTGAAAGTTCGCATTCATGTATACTTATAATAAATCTGTAGAGAGGTCAATTCTGTACATGAAAAATATTTTCAAAATAACTATAAGTTATCGATACTGATGCCAAAAATGCAATTAGTACATTTTTGTCTGTCTGTGTATGTTCCTTATAGAAACAAAAACTACTCGACGGATTTTAACGAAACTCGGTACAATTTCTCTTCATGTTCCTGGGCAGGTTAAAGGATACTTTTTCATCACGCTATAATTAATAGGAGCACAGCAGTGAAGGGAAATGTTGGGAAAATAAAATTAACCTGCGGAAAACAGGAGAAATTACTCCATTTTCTAAGCTTCCGCCGCATGTGCAGCCTTAATGGTTAAAGTTACATAGAAATTATGTATCACGGGAATATACAAAATAAAATTATCTACAAAATGTCCTACAACAATATATGTCTATCTTTTATGGTTGACTCACAATAACACGTGTAACTCCTGATAGATTGCCAGGAACTATAAAATGATTTTGTAACGCGCTAAAAATCAATAATTTATCTATGCTGTAAGTTTTCCTCTGAGTTTATTTTATTTCAATCAACTTCTATCTGTCTGTCTCTGCTTCACACCTAAACTAATGAACCGATTTTGATAAAGTTTTATACAGAAATAGTTTGAAAACCGGGAAAGGACATGGGATAGTTTTTATCCCGGGAGGAGAACTTCCCTATTCCCGTTCCCTACGAGATCGGTAACTATGTGGGTAAAACCAAAAATCTGCCAGAAATCACTATTTCACGCGGAAGAAGTCGCTGGCAGAAGCTAGTAAGTAATATCATTATAAATATGAAATTAGTTGGAATTATTGTTAGTGCAGCTGTCGTCGGAACTTTGAGACACACAAACATACTGACTATTACAATCGGTCAAAGCCGACCGTGATTTGCTAATTTGGCAGCAAAGATTTACCAGGCAGATATACTACCGCACCCAGACTGAGCGTTCTGTTTACTACGCCGCAGTGGCAGTGGACGAGGGGGATGCTCCTCGCTCATTAGTTAAATGCCGTTATAAGCAAAACGTCGGGAGTCTTGTGACGGACCTGTTTGTAAGCAACCGTTGTGGTATACAGCCCAGCCAGAGCATGGGTGTCATTGATCCTTCATCACACTTGGTTCCGGCTGGTGGAGGCGCAGGTCCGGCAGCGGGCGGTGGCAGCGCCGGGTGTCGCGTGACACTACATTTACATAGACCTGCTATCGCGCCGATCTCGCAATCGTTGAGCTCCGGTGCCGTATCTAACATCGCTGCAGCAATACCTGCCTGGCTGCAGAAGGTACACTTTGCAGCGAACCTGTCCAGTGTACCGCCCGACTTGCCAACTGCACGAGGTATCTGTTCTAGCCATCGGGACGGGATTTCGCCCACCGTCGAGGCATTGTCTCTACTACAATATCTTTCATCGGTGCCGAAGTTGTTGTCTCCGCGCCCTGCGACGGATCTACAGTGCAATAGAACTTCTGAAGTTGTCTGTGTCGTAAGATCCGGTGTAGCTGTCGCAGTGTCGTCAGTATTGTCGCGCTTCGCTGCGTTCAGTCGCAAGATGGCGGCGCTCGCTAATTAACGCCGGTGCATGACAACTGCACTGGTGCATGATCCTCTGATTATGACGTCCGCTGTGATGCGAACTGCGAAGCTACCGCGAAGTAACTGCTCGGCGCCAGCGAGCCAAGCGTGCGAATACACCTAACGACATGTTTACTGACATTGCGGTGATGTAATGTGAAACGACTCCTATACAAGCTGCTTCCATACAAGCTGACCAGCTGACTAGTCCAGCAATAGGAGGGACCTATGTGATCAACTAATCATTTTAATAATACAGATACAAATACCCAATGGCAACCCCAGCAACTTCCCAAGCATAGTGTCGGTGATAGCGTGGCCGGCAGCGGTCTGTATTACCAAGACCCGTGAGATCATTCTATAGTTGCTTGAGTAAATTAACTGTAAGTATAAATAGTAGTGCGGCAGTCAGTGGGTACGGTTCCTGGTCGAGTCGCCGTCGCCTGCGCTAATTGCTCACTCAAATATAAAACTCATCCATATTCGTAGCGGCGCCTTCGGCAATTGTCGGCGTCTTTCGCAATTGCCGTGCGTCGGCGCATCACACGGACTGCTTTTTATTCGACGGAATTGAGTTTAGTGGAGGGCGACACAGTCACTCACAGAGAGGATAAGTAGGTACTACGCCCACGAGCACACGTCGCGCGTCGTGTCGCCGGGTATACTACTACTATTACTATCCACTGTTAATTGTATAGGAAAGTAACACTCGCCACAATAAAGTGTCGAGATGACAACAGTAGTCGACATATCTCCATCTGTTACTCAGTGGTAATATGGCGACACTCAATATTTAGACAAGCGACCGACAGGCAGAGCTCGCGAACTAGTTCGTCTCACGATCAAACGAGCACTTCCTGCTCGCACACAGACACACGACACACGGACACAGAGCGACCACCACTGCCGTCCTCCCTATGTCTACAAAAATGTTACATTTCTTTACTTAGGCACGGGTTGACACAATCTCATTCCAAGATCGCAATATCGTTAAACGCAGGCGCACAGACAGCAGCGGAGGCCTGCTGCGTGGGAGCCCCGAGCTCGGGGCGCATGCGCCACGCGCCGCCAGCCGCGGGTTCTGCTACGAAGCGACGCAATTACGCGCGCTCACAAACGCAACATCGGCGCGCGCGCATTGTATGCAAATACCCGACACCTTCCTCGCGGCCGCGCCACTATCGCGCCCCGCAATATATTTCATACATTGCTGACAAATGTTTTCGTTTCGCGTGACATGGGACACACTGCCCCCCCCCCCACATCGACCCGCCGCGATACCCACTACCAGCTTGATCAGCTCCATCTCGCCATAATACACGGCAGACATGACACTGCCTGCTACTCACAAATCGCAACTCGTTATCATTTTCGCTTACGAGGCCCATTATGAGGCTAGAATAAATATTGATAAAACGCATTTTAAAATTCATTCTGTATGAATGTGAGGTTGCTTGCGCACGCGCAGTTCCGTGCCAATTACAGCATCGGGCATCAGATAGCGCTAACAAGACGATGCGTATCTGTCGCCTGCGCGCGCGCAACGCAGCGACCACACCGCGCAAAATTCAAATTCCGATACCAAACGCTAAACTTCCCCGCGACATAAATCTCTCTACATCAAAACAAAATGCATCGTAAACGTTTACTGCTAAGGTTGCATATCGGTCGAGGCTTTCGGAGTGGTCACTTTGCATGATGAACGCGGTGGCGTGAATTACGCGGCCACAGGTCGTTATTGTGCAGCCGGCGCGTCTTGCTCGCTGTGCCAAGGCAAAGTGCACCCTATGCCCCTCACAATAAGGACGCTGCTTACAGTACTAGGAAGGTTGGTGAGTGCGCTGGAGTATTGTGGCAACGGCGGAATAATTCACGCAGATGGCACGATAGAGCGCGATTGTGCGCGGGCGCAGCGATAGCGCGCTATCACTGACACTCAGCAGGAAGGACAAACGAGCGCTATGAATCAAGGCGACAGCCGCCGCGCAAGCAACTGGAGCTTTGTTCTGGATTGCGTCACAATGGCCGAGGTAATGATAACGCGAGCTCAGCGTCCCGCACTAAGTGGCACTCCGCTCACTCACTACTTCCGAGTCCACCACTAATAATTATTTTTAAGCTGCACAGTTGGTGCAGTGGCTAAGCAACTAACTAGTGTACAACGTGTCGTGGATTCGGCTCCCGCGCGGATCAACGCCTTATGAAAATTGCTGTTGCGTTTGTAAACGCATCCACGACAGACTAGAAAATCCTAGTTTGTGGCAACGTTTCTATAAGAGGATGAAGAAAAATATACACTTGCACTAGCCACGGCAGGCTCCATCCCCACAGTCACTGCGCACACAGCTACAACACTGCGGCCCCGGAGTGTGTGGTGTGTGCAACATAATTGGTGCATCACAGCGAGGGGTCGAGCAAGTATCGCTCTCTACCACAATGATGACGAACGGAGCTAGGCGATGAAGCTGCGCAGCTGTGCTGGACGCAATCTCGAGCAGTTAGTGGAGGTCAGCGGGCCGGCGCGGCATGGCGGCGGCGCGGCGTCTTTGAATAATTCGCGGATGATTCCACTAGATTTATGGCATATAACCATAGAGCTGCGCCGCCACCGACAATTAAATAATTTGCGTATGCGCACTCCCGCTAACTCACACACACGCGCCTCAGTATAGGACGGACAGTCGCACACAAAGACAGCGTGCGCAGGCGCCTGTTATTGTGATTTGTGTGTTTAAGACGTCGTTTATTAATTCCCGGGTGGACTAGCGAGCACGGGAACAGCGTTACGTCGGGAACCTACAATTTAGAAGAGGCTGCAGCTGGCGGCGGCGCCCGGCGGCATCTTTGATATCATTTATTCGTGGGATTACACGAAATTGGAAAAAATATGCAGCGGGCAAATAGCAAGGAGGAGCCAAGTTGGAGTCAATTGAAGGACAAAGCACGTCGCAGCCAGCTCCGTGAAGGGAGGAGTGCACCTCTCCCCGGACACATGCACCAACCTTGTGCTGGCTGCCTTAGAAAGCACATTCACTTATTACTCAGCGCTTGTAAGAAACTTAAATTGTCGTTTTGATCAGCGATTAAGATAATACCTATTGTGGGAGAACGGCGTCAATTTATCAGCGCTTTTGAAGGCAAGTGGGAACAGTCGATCGACAAAAACCCACAGCAATTAGTGCGTGTTCCCAGCGGGAGCGACGCGGCTGCGACGCGGCGGCGACGCGGCGCTGCATTCTTATTGTATAATTGCGAGCCCATCAATTGGTGGCTGGAGGAAGCCGTGAGAATGTGACTACCTACTTGTAGCCACCACATTATTTTATGTCCATATCTTGTGTTGTCAATGTCACCAGCGAGTCATCGATTGCCCCTCGGCTTCACCTACCGACACCTCCCTGGCGGGTCAACCGCGTAACATAGCGAGACGACAATATTCATTAACCACGAACTTCGTTTAGAATTAGGTTGTGCGACTAATCAACTGTCAGCGGAGGTAATGCATGAAACCGATACAAAATTGCAGTGATTATTTAAGCAGTAAATATAGGATGCCGACGATGGCCAAGGCCTGGGTGTTGATGGCGCAGCGTGCGCGGGCTGAGCAGGCTCGGCGGAGGCGGCGCGGTGAACGACCGATCTGTGCCGATATTATTTAAAGCGCTCCAATCTCGCTCCTTATTACCGGACGATGCGGCCGATAATGCGCCGGCCGCCGCCCGGCCAGCGCGCGCCGTCCGGCGAGCTCGCCGCGGACCGGCACGCCACGCGGTAATCCTGTGCTTATCGCAGATGAGTTACGATTAGTAAATTGGCGAGCGGAGAAGGGCGAGATCGGCTTTCTAATAAATTTAGTTGGAATTACAGGCGCATCTCCTGCGATGGGCTCTAATCGCGATCGAAACAGATATTCTGTTGAAAATTGTTATTCCAATAAGCGGCGGTTACCATTTACTTAATTGGAAAGCTCATGAGCCCGGCCACGGCGCGGTAACTGCGCACAAAGTGCTCTAGCGGACACACGAGCCGGGAACGCAGCCACTGGAGACCATCTCTCGAAAGAGTACTTTAACTTGGAGTTGCTGCATCACCGGCAACTGTGCTGGGCATAGTAACACAAAGTTGGCTACTTCTGGGAACTTCCCAATTAATGGGAACTGGACACTGCCGGAATATTTATTGTACACACACACACACACACACAAGTGCGAGCTGTGTACGTACACTGTACACGTCACCTCGTGGAAGTTGTGCCTGCGCATGTATTGCTCCTTGTTTACAAGTTGCTGCGTCTACAGTTCCAAGTAGCATGTCTATTGGTGTGGAATCGAATAAGTAATATTACATTTATGTTTGGATAATTCTAATAAGTTTCAGTTAGTTGCCTGCTTCCGTTTCCTCTTTTCACTAAGTCCCCACAATGCACCGAGGAGTTGCACCAATAAGAATGTCACTAACTTTTGCAACGACTCATTGTAGACATAATTTCTTTTTCTTGAAAAGTGCTAATAAGTTTAACAGATTGCCGCGGGGTGTTTCCATACTTATTCTGTACTAAAACTAACACAGTAGGACGACTTTTGGCAAACTTATTTTTTGAATAAAAAAACAAAACCTTGCACGGGCACAGCACTGCAAGGCTTGGGACCAACCTTGACTTATAGAATCTTTGAAGGACTGTAAGTTGTGTGCTAATGAGCTCGTTGCTTTTTGTGGCATTGTGTAACCAATGAACGCTGTTTATTGTGACGTCAGTTATGCGGTGAGGAGCAACTTCCGCCGACATAACCGCGTTACAAACTTTACCATTTGCGCCCCTGCTCCCCTGCGCCCGCACCCCGCGCCCCCCGTCCACCGGTCCACCTGCTAATCAATATTGATCGTTGGACTATTGTGACACCAACACGAGGTGACAGCTTGAGTGTGCTCCCTCGCAAGCACTACTTACTTATGTGGGTGCAGGGCCCGCGGCTACTGCAACCCATCGAGCCCTGAGTC